CGAATGTGATACACGCTATAAGTCTTGAGATAGGTTTGTTCCTTCAAAAAATATAGTAGTTTTTGTTAATTAGGAAATTAAATCTTTCACCGGACGTTTTCTTTCAACTACTTGTATTGGATAATGTAGGTCATTAATCAAGTACGAGTTTGTGTTGAAATTTTTTAATTAGTCTAGAGCTATGTATGTAGCTTTTTATAGCCAGTACCCAAAGGTTAAAAGGCTTTACTTGTTTTATTTAGAATAAACTTGAAGATTACTCTTTTTAAGTTGGGAAATTTGTAAATAGATAGCTGAGATCAGGATATACATAAGTAAGTAAATGAGACAGATTTGATGGAAACCCAAAAAGCTTCGATTGTGTCGCCATAAATATTAGGATAGATATTCTTAGTTCTGAAAAAGCTTCATGACTGTCTTTAATAAATGTAGCTTATGTATTTTTTTAAGCATTTAGACTTTGTATATTATGAAAAAATTCAATTTCATATGCTGTCCTTTTCAAATGGCCTTACAGAAACTGTCTCCTTATTTCTTTAGTTGCAAACTAAGGTATGCTTGACAAACGTCTCGAAAAAATAATACTACCCTTTAAAAAGTATGTAAAGTTAGGGAACAAACTGTGTCAGATTTGTTTGCCAGCACTTTGTCAAACTTTGAACTTAGTCGTACAGATGCCAAGCAAAATATTAGATGGGGACGAGACGGATCGTTCAGAGACGCAGAGCGATAATCATCATTAAAAATTGCCTGCGGCCAAACAATTAACCAGTCAAATACAAAATGTAAAGTGGAAAAGTTTTTGCTTCACTTTTCCAACTTCATCAAATGTTGTTATTGTTCCGGTCAACAGCATAAATGCACATATTACGTAACTATCTGATTCATTGACAGTAAGTAAAAGGTCAACATAATGCTGATTACGCAAACCAAAATGGCCTAAAATTTTGTTTTTTTTTATGAAGGAAAGTCTCAATTGAATGGAATAAAAGTTTATAAAACTGTTACCTAGCTGAAGTCCCTGTTAGGTCCGATGAGAGAACAATTATGTTAATCGTGCGCCAGCTTGCTTAGATACTCTACTTAAATGCAAATGCGCTCAGTGACCAATCAAATGGCATGCAAATCACTCGCTGGATTCATAAAAGTATAATAATAACAATAAAAAAGGTCGCCAGCGTCTAGACACATTTGACAAAGAATTTTCTTTGTTGCACTTGAGTTTAACATTTAGGCGCTACATATGAAAATCAATCAAATTTTCACATAAAGAATTGCTCCACCAACAATAATAGAAGACGACATGCCCTTTGTTTTTGTCTAGAGCAATCACCCATTGGTGACATATGGCGCGACTTTTGCTGCCCGGGTGATTACCCCCAACCCACTGGTCAATCAAATGCGCATATTAATCGACTTGATTACGCGAACTGCAAACAAATAAATCGACATTTTCCTCTGACTTTCTTAAGCATAAAGCACTTCATGTCTTACAATCGCATTTGTACATCAAAGCAAATTATTTAATGGCTTTTAATGTCGGCTCAATGACAATACGGAGAGCAAGTGCGGCAGTTAAGTGCGACCCGCAATCAAACAAATGATTAAATATATACATGTGTGCTTCTAGTATGGATAAACTGCAATTAACTTTGAATCGGAGGCAAGTAATTGTAAACTAATTAAATCTAATTTGCTTGCAAATGAATTAACCTGTACTGCTTTAAATTTTATGGGCTAATAATAAATATAATGCTTGTTTAATTGCATTCGGTAGAAATTTTGTAATTTGATTAGGCCAAGCAAAGGAATTTTCCAAGTTTCCACCATTAATAATTATTTCATACTAAATTATATCAAATGTGCGAAGAAGTGTGATTATGACTTTTGTTAACAAATTGCATTGTAATGTAATAGAATTATCTTTATTTTAATCGCAACGAGTTGCCGCAAAAAGACTAATTAGAGCAAAGGAATGAAATCTATACCCAAGCTTAAGAAATTATGCTTAAGGAGTCCATAGCCTCTATATATTTATTTCACATAATTTGGCAACAACACACATTGCCGCAGTAAATAAATGCGAGCTCTCAACAATTCGCCATAACAATGTTGCCGGAATACACTTTGTTGTTCCAAAGTATTTTTTCCAATATGAATTTGAGCCGCGCTTACCCCTCAATGGGGGGTTGAGGTATTCAAACCCTTACGGGTATTTTGAAAGAAATGCTACTTCTACGTTGTACGTAGCTGTCTCTGTCAATCATGCATGGTTGTATGCTAGTATACAAGTATATGGATGTCTTCTATAGAACTCGTCGGACTTCTTACTAACTAATATTGTAGTCTTGAATATGTGTTCGATGGAAATGAAGATTTTTTATCTGAGATTATGACATGTTTTTGTTGAAATAATTGAATGTGCTGCTTGTTTCCAAAGCAACTTTTGCGTTCGGCAGTTTGTTGGCTCCTTAGTGTTATATTACATAGAAATTACTTATAATTGCTAATTAGTACCATTCCATCAACTTAATGCAGAGACTCTAGCTTGATATTATTGCACAAATTATTCTGCTGCATGACTTTTTAGAAGGTATGGTTCCATTTCAATTCACATTACAAGAGATGATTGCATCTTTCCAATACAAATTATTTTAATATACATGTATAACAATTTGAATTGAACGGAATCTGAAAATAATTTTTCATTCCCTCCTTTGCTTTCATTCTTTTCCTTTCCTGCGTTTTCTGCCATGAATTTACTTTTTCCGGCCTTCTCACATTTTATTGCGTTAAATCGTTCATGGCTGCTGCAGCTCTTAAATGAGAACACAGCTACTGGGCCTAATTAGTTTTAAAAGCACACGAACATCGTTCGGTAAACGTCTTAAGCCTATGCGGCGTATGCATAATTTTTCGAATAGTCGCGACTGGATTATTTATAGTATAGTAGCTCACTGATTCCCCCCTTCATTTGGCGAAGCTTAAAGTACAATAACAACTTTTGCAGTGAGCATGAGCGTTGAATTTAATTTATGTTCATAAATTAATTTTGATAATGAAATTTGATGGCGTTTTACTTTGAACTTGCAGTGGAAAACGTTACACACTTCCCAATGCGCTGACATTGGGTGTTAAAGTCGACGACAAAGCGTCGTTGTTGTTGCTATTATAGTTGTTCTTTTCATTGTATAGTATATGTTGTTGTTGTCTGTAGGCACTTGACGGGTTGTTCTTGCCGCTGTATTTATTAAAATTAATTTACGCTCATTCGCAATATCGAGAGCTTTTTAGTTCTCTTCCTGCTCGAAAAGTTAAGCCCACAGCAGAAGAGGGCGTACTAAGCATTATTTAAATTATAAATAGCGTCAACTATTACAACACTTGTAAGATATGAACGTATCGACAAATTAATTGTATGCTGTAAAGGTCAACAGTGCTGGAAATGATTGAGCACTTAAAGTTGCTTTACTGGCTGACAATTGGAAATTGAAAATTGTATTGAATTGACGGTAAGATGTTGTGCCCTTTCAGCTTAGAACATTCATGAATACGGCTTCGCCATCGTCATTGTTTTCAAATACGTGGGCGCGTACAAATACGGAATGCCTTCTGGCGAATTTTCCTTCGTAATTCATACGTATATGTACTCTAGTTCAGAGTTTGTGAATTGTTTGTTGTTACATTATTGACGGCTTCAAATATTTCGAAGCGCACAAATGTATTTTTTTTTTCAATATCGACCATTTTATTGTCTTTGTTATTGCCAATTGTTTTCTAGCTCAAAGTTACGTTCAAGTGCTTCATTCACGAGCTCCTTTTTGACTGGACAATTGTAAATCAAGTAGTTCTCTTCTTTAAGTACCTGCAAAGATCAAAGTTTGAATTATATTTAATTGAAAATACACACTTAGTAAAAGTTTAAGCATTTGAAAAAAAAAGATCATATTGTGGATCAGTGTAATGACTGGGTTTAACATTTCACCTTATCATATATATTATAGATGAGGTTTGGAACTGAGATAAATGAAATATAATAGCTTGCTAGCATTTTAATAAAAACAGGTTCCAGGTCAATTTTTTAGGCCTGTTTTGAAATAATATTACATAAATGAGTAGTCAACCGAAAAAAATAGCTTAAGCAATTTTTTGTACACAAATTTGTATTCTATTGTTAATCATTACCGAGAATTGGTTTGACTCCACAATTTTCCGTTCTTTGGGAATGAAGCACGGGAATTTGCGATCTTTAATTCGTGCTACAACAGAAAAATTTGAATCGCAAAAGTATGAAAACTGTTTTTTTTTGTTTTTCTCCCGGATATTTACACTTTAATTATACTGTTTTTTGAATAGCTTAAATTAAACTTGTAGCTAAATACAAAAAGAACTTATACTACGAGCTTAGTCTTATTTAAAATTTTCCATTTATAATTTATATAAATCTATTGGCAAGGTCAACATGGTGCGACCTCTTCAGCCTCCTTCTCATTAAACCCAACCTAACCTAAAACATTAACATGGCTTCGAAGACGCCTTATGTATTGTAAAGCTTGCTCATTGTGCTAATACATAGGATGTGTGAGATTCTATTTTATGAAACCCTGTTGCTCGTAGCATTAATTACAACATTAAATAATATTTGCAGTCAATTATTAGATTGATTTTTGCCGAAAAATATACATATCGATGCACACATACAAAAAAAAAAGAAAATTTATGGCAATAGTTGTTTTTCATTTTCATATGAAACTGTGTGGTCCGGCACAGCTTTACGGGCTTGCGGGAATAACGCAATGTGAGCCATATTATATATCAAGTCATATAATTTAAAATTTGTTCAATCCAGGACAGTTCTTAAATGAAGACTAGTACAAAAGCTAATTACAAACGGTCTATTAAATTCATGAAATACATTCATCAATATTTTAACAAGGTTATTATGCTTTGGAATTTTACAGAAATCGCAATCGAAAATTATTGGGATAAATGGAAAAGGCGCGAAAAAATATACATGAAGTTAATTGGATTAAAGGATTACAGTCAGAAGTAATTAAAATAAACATGTAAATCAGCGCACACAATTACATACTCACACATTCAAATGAAAGCACAACTCGGATACCACCGAAGCGAGTCAGGAACAGAAACTGAAGAATACAGCACCAACCTGCACGAAGGACTACGTCAGTGTTAAAAATGGATGAGTACGATACGCACGCACGTCTTTCGCCTGCCACCGCCACCGTTACCGCCTCCAGTATCCTCGACACGGACACACTGGATGCGGATCTCAGTCTGGCCGATTTGGCCAGCAATTGGTCGACAACGGCCAATTTTACACGCCTCTTTGCCGCCACCGACATCGTCAACTACACGCTGAGCAGCATTCTGGATGTGGGCGTAGCATTAGCCACAGAGGCGGCCACAGCAGCAGGCTCGTTGGCAGTCTCAACCATTAGTCCCACCTCCATGCCACTGAGTGCCGCCGACGCGGCCTTTGCCATGATGACCCAAAGCACAAATGCGACAAACCAATATGCGCAGATCAATAGCCTGCATGAGTCCTCACCGGTAGCGGAACCGGTGCCGGAACACATAATGGACCATGCACCGCAATTATCGCGATCCGGACTGATGAAGGTCTATGTGTTGGCCGTGATGGCGCTCTTCTCACTGTTGGGCAATGTGCTGACTATATGGAATATTTATAAGACGCGCATCTCGCGTCGCAACTCGCGTCACACCTGGAGTGCCATCTACTCGTTGATGTTTCATCTATCAATTGCGGATGTGCTGGTCACGGGCTTCTGCATCATTGGGGAAGCGGCCTGGTGCTATACGGTGCAGTGGCTGGCCAATGAGTTGACCTGCAAGCTGGTGAAGCTCTTTCAAATGTTCAGCCTCTATCTGTCCACCTATGTGCTGGTGCTGATCGGGGTCGATCGCTGGATAGCCGTGAAGTATCCGATGAAGTCCTTGAACATGGCCAAGCGCTGTCATCGCCTGTTAGGTGGCACCTACATTCTCTCCTTGGTGCTAAGTTTGCCGCAGGTGAGTCTAAAACTGTTGTTGTTCTTCTGCTCTGCTCCTGCTTTTTTAAATGGTCGAAAGTTTTCGGCAAGACGCAGGCAAGCCGCAGGCACTTGGAGAAAATTTCATTTTAAGTGCATTATTCCATCATTTATTTTGTTCATTTCATTTTACGTTAATAAGTTCTGAGTTGCGCGTGGGAGCTCTTGGAATTTAGAAAAGTTTGACAGCGAACCTTTTTTGTTTTGAAATCTATTTCGCTAAATTGACAAGGAAGCACTCACCTCATAGCATACCTACCACCTTTTTTCCGAGTGCCTGGCAACCGAAGTGTTCGAAGTTCTTTGTGGCAAGTGGCGTATGAGTGATTTTTGTATGATATTGATTAAACCGGACGTGAACTCGAAAACTCCATAGCTTAAAAATTGGCAATTGAAAGAAATAATCCAATTACCCCTGCGCTCCCTTGCCGACACAAAGCTACACTCGCGCTTTATTGAAAGTTAATTAGAAAACTCAGAGAGTGTTATTAAAGGGAAATGTCAGAATGATGTACATACATACATACATACATATACATATGTACTCGTTTGTATGTTGGGAGCTGGCTGTTATTGATTACTTTGTGTGACTCTGTGTGATGTAAAAATAAACATTTTACAAATCCCAATCCCACACAGAGGATTCTACAAATACTGTTTCCATTTCCCCATTTCGCTGCTTCACAAAATTTATTTCGCACCCATTGTATTTCACTTTGTAAGGGAATTTAAAACACATTTTGTCAATAAGCCAATGCATGTGTGTGGCGTAAACAATATTTAAGCAACAAATTTGTTGCCAGCTGCTAAGTCAAGTTAAAGCTCCTATACGCACGCCCTTGGGCTTCTTTTTTTTGGCGTGTGCGTGCAATATATTCGAGTTATGTTGCGTATACGCCCCGTGATATCGTGTAAATATTCCTCAGCCATATTCATATATTCTCTGTCTCTCCTTCTCCCTCTCTCTCTCCCTCCCTGTTGCAAGAGCAAGTTTGTGGGCATTAAAAAATGATTGCCTACTCCATAATAAGTGCACACTAAATGTGTGCCTTTAAATATCCTTTGGCACGCCCACATACGTGCCCAGCTAAATATTAAAAGCATACCGCAAGGCGCACCGGCTTACAAAAATGGCGCTCCTTGGCAAATGTCTGCATGTGTGTGTGTGTGTATGAAAGGGTGCGCGCTAAAAATGCAAAAGAAACAAGTCTACGCACGTAAGAGCTCCGAGAGGCCCTAAAGGGCACAGTGATTGAAATTGCTGGGCTAGCTGGCCTGAAGCTCGATTTGAGGTTCTACAACATTCGTCGGTCGAGTTGAGAATCCACATCGCATCATCTATCCTAAATTTCTGCTTATTCCTCTTCATTATACATTACCATTATTTATGCAAGAATAGGAAATGGGACTTATTACGAATGATCCCGATCGAGTGCCTAATTATTAAATGTCAACAATAATTGTGCTAATTTCAACATGACTTTAAAATACGAAACTTCACTTTTAAAATGATGAGAATTATGTTTTTGTCTTTTTGAGGAATCATGGACATTTATAGAAAATCTATGTATATTTGGATTGAATATTGTTATCACTATCAGACAATAATTAATATGTATAATGCATTTATATTTATAATGCAAATATACTGCTGTTGAACTGTGACAGATTTATCTTTTCAAACTAATGTTTTAATTAGTTGTATTGTTAAACAATCTATAAACAGAGGGCGAACTTAAGATGAAGCTATATATGTATATATTTAAAATCTCTCTTATAAGCTGCATAGCAAAAAGTAGAAGTTGATTCAGAAAAATTAGTTGATAAAGTTATAATTTTGAGTTTCTTACGAAATTAGAAATAAATACTTGCATTAAACTTCATATAATACCAATATATTAACTAATGTTACCAAACTTTATAATAACCCTCATGATCATTGAAAGTTGTCTATTTCTATAAACTGTTGTCTTAAAGATGATTAATTTTGTCCAATTATAAAGAAACAGTTTCGTATTCAGCAGGCAGTTCATCTTCATGTTTTGGTTGAAGGCTGTTCTGAACAATTTAGACGAAAACATATACACACTCGTATCTCTGAAAAAGAATTTTGGATAATGTTGGCAAATCTTTTAATATCGCATCATAAGCAGCGCATTAATGAATTCACATTTTCATCGCATCTTTGTGGAATGTGGTCCACTGTAAATTCCCCTGCAAATACTTCTTCATACTCGTAAGTTGGTGGCTCATTTTGTGTGCGTGTGTGTTTGTGTGTGTATACAGAGATGGCCAGCAAGAGATATCCTTTTGGTGGCTGCTGCCGCTGCATAATTTTCTGCTCCTGTTTGTCGCCATTGCAAGCAGATAAGCCTTGGCATGGACTACATTATTTTTTTTTTATCGCACTGGAATCCTTTCGCTTCCGGTTGACATAAATCACAGTCGGCACCCGGGTATACACTGACATTATGTGATTTCTTTTGTTTTGTTCACATTTCTGTTTTTTTAAATGCTTATTTATGCGTAATGTCTGCCTTTGTATCGCTTGATTACATATACCATTGAGTGTTTTGCTGATTTATGTTGGCATCGCATTTTTTATGGCTTTTAGCTTGATTTTCCCGTGTATTTTTTACTTTTGGGTGAACCGTCAAATGCGAGCTGCTCTTTAATTAGGCAACGGCAAAGGCTCAGCTGTAGCCTGGCAGTTAATACTTAATTGGCATTTAGCTGGCGCCCTCTTCAAAGTTCTGCTCAGCGTGTTGTAAGGTAATTACGTTTACATTTTGCCACCTTAAGCTACCTGCTTCCTGAATAGCTTAACCTGTTAATTTGGCAGTTTGGCTGTGCAAAGAGAATTTAATTATCGAATAGTTGGCACACATGCGGCTTAATTTTGCGATTATTTCATTGGTCAAACGTACACACTGAGCTAAAATACTTAAAAAAGATGGTATATACCTGGTGATTTTAAGTTGTTCAGTTATCTGTTTGAGCAAGTGTTCCTTTTATTAAATAATTTATTGAATGCTCTCATTAAATTGTAAAATAAACCGAAATATCAGCAGATAGAGCGACCGCCTTTTTGACCCAAGCTGGCTAGAGTCCATACAAAAGAAGGAACTTTGCTGAATCGATGTGACAATCACTTCTGCCTTGAAATACACATATTAAGAAACAAGAAAGGAATGTTACGCCTCCATTTGTGAGTCACATACATTCGCACTTAACTGGTATACCTTATTACCTTTTTGGTACAGGGTATAGAAAGGAAAGAGCCTAGGTCTCTAATACTCAAATTTGTCAAAATATATTTGCAAAATACACATATGTTATGACCCAAAAAAAAAAATAAAATAACGAGTTCTAGTTGAATATATATACTTGTAGAAATTTTAGTTCAATCAATAATGGTAAATTAGTTTAGAAAATTTCAATTAAGTACAAGAGAAATGAAAAATTAAAATAACATAAAAACTGTTAAAAACAATTAATAATTATTCATTACAAAATATAGTATATTTTTGTTGGTATCAATCAGACTTAGACGCATAGTTCTAAGTAAACATTTGCAATGAATCAAGCCAAGATGAGATTATATTCCTGACCGCCAATTAATTCTTCATTATTTTCTTACAATATAATCTGGCTTATTTGTTGTTGATTATTTCAAAATATTACAACAACATTTTATGCAATTTGCCATTTTCTATTTAATGCCATTATTATCTGATGTTTTGAATTATTTTATTAATTTATTTTTTCTAATATACTCCAGATTTTTTTCGGTAGAATTTCCTTCAACGATTGGAATATATTTGTCAATTTAGATTTATACTGAAGTTTTCTTGTATTTGTTTGTGCATTTATTATAAATATTAAATATTTTCCGAACTTCTGACATCTTTTAGAATTGGTTTAGCTGCAAAATTCACTATTGACTATTAAACTTGGTTTTCTCTGCCTGTACTTGCAAATTTGTGCGTATGTTACCAGCCAACCAGCCAGTTATTGATTTGAACAGCATACGTTAATCTGTCTGCAGATTTAACATTTATATAAGTCAGTCAACTGGCTGATCATTGGAGCGCAAAACTTGCTGTCACTAGAATATTGTGGATTGTGTGCAAAATTGTTTTCCACCTACCTGGTTTAAGTTGGCCAACTTCTGCAGAGCAAACAGACGCATGAATGAGCGCACAAACACAAATGCCATCAACGACCTACATACATATTTGTATACGTTTATATTTGTATGTGTGTGTAAGGATATATGAGTGGACGAGTAGTTAGGGACGTGCCCTCAAGTTAGTGGAAATACGAGTGCAGACCTTTATTCACACAAAGGGAATGTTGAATTTTGAATTTCTCACCCGCAGGCAGGAGCTAATCAATTTTTGTTTTGTGTCCAGGCAGGTTTTTTGTGCTGGCTATTAAGTGAGGCATTGATAGCGTTTAGGGTGGTCTATTGTGATAAAAATGTTTTCTGAAATCGTACTACGCCTGTTCCTGTTCCTGCCTTTTTTCTCCTTTAGTGTCCCTTAAGTTTCGAGTCACAATAGAGGACACTCCCTGTTGCCTTTTCGGCATCGTCGCTCATTTAAGCGATTTGCATGAAACTCACATTATGTAGATTTCTTCATGTTTTTTTTTTCTGATTTTTTGTGGGTATATCGTTAAACCTCAGTGTGGCGTTTATCACGCCAGCGTCAAAATATATGCCATGTTTTATATAATTTACTGCATTTAATTATGAAAATCAACTTAGTATGTATATGTGGGGTCCCCAGAGCCAGTCTGTGGCTAAGCAACATGTGGATGGCGAACTGAGAGGTCGTTCGCACTCCACTTTATCTCTTATCAGCGTCAGCGCCAAATAATGTGGCAAATATAATAATTTAAGGCATAATGGCTAGGGAAACACGATTATGTTTGCATACAATTAGGCGCCGTGGCGCAATATGTGCCTGCGCATGCCTGTGGCCGACTTCATTGGCCTCTGTCTACAAATATACACATGTACTAGTGTAGATATTTGTAGTCTTACATGTGTGTTTTGTTATCCTCTTCAAAGTCCACCACTACATGAAAGTCTAATTACGTTTTTGTGTTGGTTACCCCCCATATTTAGGTTGTGTGGTTTAATTGTCTTCCCGTAACCAATGGACACATATGTATATGAATGAAATGGGAGTTCTTATTTAAAATGAATATACATACAGCTTTAATATGACCGCATTTTGTGGCACTTAGCAAATTAAAATCATAATCAGCACCGACGACGAGGTATTTCTATTTTTAAATTGCAAAAGGTCAATCTATCTATCTATCTCCTACGAAGTTGCACTCATAAGAAAGTGTTGGATTTGTGGATTTTTAATTTAGATTTTGTTTGATTTTAAAATTTTTTCAATAACTCTTGGGCTATTACCTAAATGTTTGCTTTTAATAAGATATGTCTCGTGTTTGATGACTTGTTGCCATTTATCATAAAGAATTGATAATAATTGTTATATCTCATATATGCTATGCAGCAAGGAAGCTGCCAGCCAGTACTCCACTGAATGCATTTGTTAATGACTTGACACCTGCTTCAATGTTAGATAGTGACATTAGTTTAAGTAATAAAATATATCATCATATGGTACGTTCGTTTCTAAAACCATTGACTTATAAATACTTGGGCTAAAAAGTATCAATCGTCGTAAAGATTTTTTTTTGTCGCTCTGGGAAATAAGAATAAATCAATAAATAAAAGAAGAAGTTCAACAAGGGATATCACGTGTAATGAATCGGCATTTTTTGAGGGATGCTTAGAACGAAATACGAGATCATAATTAAAGTCAATGTTTCTTCTGCAGTGTAGGACATATTGGAATCAAAAAAATTATATATATAGGAGTACTCTTTGTTGAAATGAAAGCTCAGCATTTTTAAATGATATGTCTTGTATATTAAATTTCCTTCGAATTACACCTAAAACCATTTAGCTGGTTTAAGTTTTATTTCATTCACACTTATGCACAAGAAACCCTTATAACTTTCACAAGTGAATTACAGTTTCTCATTTTATGGGAATGGGATGCTTAATAAAATGCCACTAGGTGTTAATTTCTTGGTTTCTTTAATGACGCCCGCAATTAAGCCCACACCCACTGCCACACATGCTGCTTCTGCCATGTTGTTATTACTTACATAATGGGTGTCACCCAATTAAACCAAACTTTGCAATGATTACGCAAATTTTTATAGCGCATTTATATAGAGGGTTTATGGCGGTGGTGCTGGTGGTGGTGCTGGTGGTGGTGGTGTCGGTGTCGGCGGCTATCCTCACCATATGTCCACACGTCCAAAGCCATTGCCCATTGAGTGTTGCGGAAAGCGAAAACTTTTTTCATTTCATTTTATTGAACATGCAGCATAAAATTTATGCGGCATAAAGACGTGACACTTGAACGCGTGCGCCTCAACAACTCAACAGCTTGACTGTGAAATATCGAAACATGTGCGGTGCCCCCAGGCGCCACCTTCGGCTCCAGGCATGGCCGTATCAAGCGGCAAAAAAAAATTATGAAAAATTCATTTCAAATAATTTTGCGCGCCACTTTTATTTCGTACACACGCAAAATACTACAAGTATATATGTGTGTGGGGGTGTGGTGTTACTGGACTCTTTGTGCAAATAATAAAACAAAATGAAAATATACTTCGAATGTCAATAAGCGACAAACGTTGATCAAGTAAAAGTGTTTTTGCCAAGAAATGCACTTTAAAAAAATACATATTACATATGTACAAAATTTTTGTGCAGCATAATATTTTATTAACTCAGCTTCAAAAAGAGCAAAACTTAATGCAAGCGAGAAATGCAATGTATCTATAAAATGGATGGCCAATTTTCTCGAGGCTCAAGAAGGAGTACACTCACAATGTGAGTTCGTTCCTGAGTATAACATTCGGTTCGTAACACGTGGCTACCATTATCTCATAAAGCATGATTTAAACAAAAAATTACTTGCAGTTTCCAAAAATGTCAAACAGCATAATAAAAAATAGCAAAATAAAATCGTATTTTTGTAACATCATTGTTAACTGATTAGTTTGGAATAATTGTCGAAAATTCTTTTACGAGCATACCCTTTTGTGTGTTGATTCCGTTGGTTGGGTATAGGGTTGGTTGGTATATAGAACTTGAAACGCTGTCCTCCACTTCAGGAAGTTTCGGTAACTTTAGCATAAAAGCCTTTTTCTGTGAGTGTAGCGATTGTATTTACTTGCCAGTAGAAAGCTTTTGCGCAATCAATTGCGCATTCGTTGCGTCATTTGTTTTCTAGTGTGCACAGTTCAGTCAGTCCTTCAATGCCTGGAAATTTATGCACGGTTGTGTACATGTGCAAAATTAATAAAAATCAACCATAACACGCAGACTTATTTTTAGTTTTATTACTACACGCAGTTTATTGTCCATCTATTCATGTGTGGGAGTCGCAGTGTGGATGTATGTGCCAATAAGTCTGCAGCGATGAGTCAAAGTCTGTCAGCGGGTGTTGTCCATTTTGTGCACTTTAGACAAGGAAACCATAAAATGCGGAAATAAACTGTCTTTTAGCGCATTAGTTATAATCGCTGGCCTAGTTGGTCGCCTTCTGCATCGTTAAAAGAGCGCGAACATAAGCTCTCCTTTATCAGCGACGACCATAAGGACCAACACAAGGAGCTCATGTGGTCTCTTTGAGGCGCTAGTTGGTCAAGAGTAGAGCTGCACAGTGGCAAGAAGAAAAAGTTTTCTTTAAACGTTCGCAGCTGCATTTTTTTGAACTTCAAGGGAATTGCAAGCACAGCTCGCAGAAAAAACTGAAATGTAAACGTCTCTCACTTTTTACTGTGCTTCCAGGTATGTCTCTTTCACAAAATTGTCAACTATAGGTAACTCTACCAGTGTATAATTATAATGGAATGTACCAAATGAACTATTGTTGATTTACTAAATAAATAAATAAATAAATAAATATATAATTAAATGAAAAATATATAAAACAAAATAGGTACCAGCTAGAATTGTCACTATTCTTTGTTCTTGAATATAACTAAGGCCCCACGTTGGGCTCCGCAGCCTTCTTATGGGTATCTTTTCAGAAATCGGAGAGTTAGCAAATTAGAATATTGATTTTTCCTCTTCCAAAATAAAACTAGAGGTTTTGAATAACATTAGTCACTCCTTTCAGTTGACTACTATCACATAGACTGATAGGGCAGATAACATTTGTTTTTCATTTTCCATTAGCATTAGCATTAGAAGAAAAGAGAAGGTTTTTTCTTTGATTGTTTAAAATTCCTACAATATTCCTTGTACTTGGTTGAATAATACATTTTTAAGTATCTATGCAGCATGTTTAGTGAAGAGGATAGAAAATTCGTTTTAGACCAAATCAAGTATTTTGAAGCGCAATTTTTATTCGTTTCTATCAGAAAAGAAGTCTTCTTTAAAGTTCAAAAAATTGCGGTACCTATACGAGTATATACTTAACTATTTTTTTTTTTAAATTAATAAGAACTCTTTTTCGGGGGACTTAAATAGTTCAATAATTAGAGAATAAATAGTTTCTCTTGCTTAAGTCTGTGAGTGGTTTTCGGTCTGGAAAACAACAATCAAATGTTAAAAACATATTTTCCTAAGTTGCTTGCATGCAGAATTCCAAGAATTGTTTATGCCATTTACACAGTCTAATGGCAAACGTCATACTTTATTTTAATTCCATTGTGCTTCATAATTATAGTAAATACAAGTACATCCTACGTTTTCATTGTGCAAATAAAATTGCAAATAATTTACTTAATGTAAACAAAAACACGAGCAAACCGGACAGCTGTAACATTATGTTGATACATTATTTGATGCAAGGTTGTTGCCAGAGGACATGGATTACGTAGTTCATGCTTGGTTGGCATTTAACATAAACAGCATAAAACCCATTATTTTTTTAAAAATTATTCTGTATTGTTTTTTTAAGTGTTGCATGCTAATTTGTTGTTTGTGGCAGTTCTTTATATTTCATGTGGCACGTGGCCCCTTCGTGGAGGAGTTCTATCAGTGTGTAACTCACGGCTTCTACACGGCAGATTGGCAGGAGCAGCTTTATGCAACATTCACGCTCGTCTTCACGTTCCTGCTGCCACTTTGCATACTATTTGGCACCTACATGTCAACCTTTCGCACCATTTCAAGTGAGTACCGACCGACATTTTGAATTTAATTTGCCAACACCTGAAAAGGGTAACATTTTTGCATAATACAAGTATTACAAGCATTCTCACCTCTTTGACTAATCCACGTCTACCTTGTTTTCTGCACTTATCTGGAACTGGCAGGCAGTGAAAAAATGTTTCAGGGCTCCAAATTGGCTAACTACTCGACAACAAAGCTGCCCACGCAGACAAATCGTCAACGTCTTATCCATAAGGCGAAAATGAAATCATTACGCATATCTGTGGTAATCATTATAGCCTTTCTCATCTGCTGGACACCTTACTACGTCATGATGATTATCTTCATGTTCTGGAATCCTGACAAAAGGGTAAGTCTGAGCTGAGCTGAGCTGAACTGAACATGCCATGCCTGTGATAAATTGCCGCATTAAAAGGTTTTCCTTTTCGACAACCTTCCTGATTGGCGGCGACTGACTGATAAAAATGCTATACAGAAATAATATATATGTAATGCTGCTGTATTCTCGCAGTAGCCTTTGATAAATTTGAAGGCACATCAATCAGCAGTCGATTTGTCAGTTTATTTCGTTTGTCTGCCCACATCTCCTGGTATGGGAGGTGGTGGGCGTGTTAAGGAAAACGGGGCATCTTCGTTTCAAACGCGTTATATATGTTAGTATTTACAGCTGGTGGTAAGCAAGGAATGCAAGCACAGCGAAATAAAATCGGAGCGTGGGTTTTTTGGTCGATATGGCAGCAGCTGTCAACGGCCCTTCATTATTCATTTTATGTTACAATTTAGGTTAGGCGCACTCTTCTCCATTTTTGTTCGTTCGTGTTGTGCTGCAGAGAACACATAAAAATGATTTCTTACGCGCCGTTTTTTAATTAATAAGTGGCAAAGGTACCTAGGCCCTGTCGCCGCTGTCCTAAACTCGATTTAGGCCGTTTCTGTCCGCTTATTAGGACCGCAAATAGGCAGAACAGAAAACAAGCAAATAAGAACACAAACAAACGAGCAAACCCCTTCTCGAAAAGGATTATAACAACCACCTTCATCTAATGAATTCGCTTCAGAGGCATAAAAAAGTGTACCACAGTCAGCGATGGTTAACCACAAAATACTTGCGGAAGTCGCTGCACAGTCAGCATAAAGGACTCTTCAACAGGCATTCGAAATTAATTTCAATTTTACATCTTACTTGCAGCTGGGCGACGATCTGCAGGATGCCATCTTCTTCTTTGGCATGTCCAACAGTCTCGTCAATCCTCTCATCTATGGCGCCTTTCATCTCTGTCCCGGCAAGGGCAATAAGAGTGGCGGCGGCAACAATAATGCCTACAGTCTAAACAGGTGAGTAAGGCTTATAGAATTGTGTTTGTAAAAAGTGTGGGAAGCGAGGATAACTCTTAAGTCATGAACAATCATTTTATTTTATCTCGGAGCACACTTAAACTGAACTAAGCACTTGCGGGGCCTGTGCTAGCGAGAACTTGCCTTTCTATGAGTACATCCTTCGTGCTTGACAAAAAAGTGGGTCGACTTACCTTATTATTGTTAAGTCGTAGGCTGAATATAAGTATTTTCCATTCGACATAGTCGCGACTCACTAGACTCTCTAAATCTGGTCGTAGGTTTCATACAAAAATCAGGGAACAGTAAAGACACTGTGTTTATGAAGAAGCGTTCTTACAATCATAATATACATTAATAAATTATTTGAAATTTCTGATTCATTTTATTACTTTACTACTATTTACCAATTCAATAATTTTTTTTAGGTTTTAGACATTTTTCTCTTATTAACTCTCCAATAAATAAAAGTATGCTGTATATTTAACATAACTGGAATGAAAATAACTATTTTGAGGCGGCAGCAATTAATTCACTGGGATAAGAGATAGAAAATAGCTATAGGTACAGTTTTTGATAACTTTGTTGAATTAATTGTTTTCATATTAAACATAGTAAAAACAATATTCAAATAAATTACTCCTAAATAATAATAAATAAATATTTAAATATTCAGATTTTCATTTTAAAAGTTAAATAATATTTTACAGATTTCGATTGAGTTTATTAAGACTATTTTATTCTTCCAGCTTTTTGAGCATTTTAAAACTAAGAAATTAAAAACTGAGAAATAATATATTTAAGGAAAAAATGTTAACGATTATTTGTTCAACGCTTCTATTGTTAATGTTCGTTTCACAATATTGATTAATTGTTAAAAGCTAAGCAAGCACCAAAAAAAATATAGAGTTTTATTAGCAGTCTATATTATTTTTTCCAATTTCCCTTTTGCCTGATGCTGTTTAACTGTTTTAAGGGCGGACGAATAATTCAATTTCAATCCTTTATTCACTTATTGTCCTTTTGCAGAGGCGACTCCCAACGTACACCCTCCATGCTGACGGCCGTGACGCAGGTGGACGGAGTTGGCGGTAGTTCCCGCCAGATGCGCACCTTCCGTCAGCAGAGCTATTACCGGAGCGTGAGCAACGGAGGCAACAGCGTGCTCGTGGCTGCTGGCGTTGGTGGTGCCGGCTATAAAGAGCAAGTGGGCCTGCTGCAGGTGAATGCTGGTGTAGGTGCAACGCCTCAATTGATGCGTAAATGCGCATCCATGCGCAGTCCACATCCGAATCATAATGCGGCCGTAATGGGCCGTCATGTGGGCTGCTTAAGGGAACAGCACCAACAGCTGCTGCAGCCACCGCCCTCGACGCTGGTGCTGAACTACGACAGCCAGCGAGGCGGTGTGGGCATTGGGGTGGCCAATGGACTCAAGATGAAGCCCGGCAGCATGGCCAGCGTGGGTCTGCTGGCGGAGAATAGTGAACATGTGTCGAGCGTGTGAGGAGAACTGGCGGTGGCGGTGCCGGTGGCAATGGCGGATGATGAATGCTCCTGTTGCTATTGTCTGAGCAATGAACTGATGCGGAGGCAACAAGGACTCCAAGAGCTTCCTAGTGCGGTGATACAATAGTCGGGTATGGGTATGAACAAGCGTGCGTACTCAAGTGCTTTCAAGGTTGTTGTTCCAGTTGGTTTGGCGGTAGACGCTGTCTTGATGATCAGATCATCGTGACGGGCACATTTGTAATAAGTACATTGAATAGCTATGTTAGTTGTGCTAAGTGAGAGTTAAGTCTTTGAACACTGTTCGTGTGCTTTAGTTGTAGCTGTAGTTGTTGGTTAAGCGCTAGTTACTATTTCTAGTTAAACTGCGAACTGGTTGAAGGCCGCAAATTAAGTAATTGATGATAATTTTGCACGTGTTAGGTTTGTTTTAATTTGATTTGTGTAGCCATTAAGGTCGGTTGATTCAAATGGGTAGGTGGAAAATACGTTTAATGTATAATTCTTGTCAATCAGTTGAAACAAATTAGAACTTTCAATTGCGGGGTTTAAAATATTTAAAGTTCCTTACAACTTGTATCAAATTTCGATTTGTTTGACAATACAAAGAGTGTGCATAAAATGCTATTACATCAATGCGAGTAATGTTTGCTTAGTCTGCTTAAATCATTCAGATGGATGGATGGAAGTTTCATGCGAAGCCTGAACAAATATTGATATTTTTACGAATATGCAATATTAAGTTTCGACAACAAGTTTTGCATTTCTCCATGATATGAGTACTTAATAACTTTTAATAAGGCAGCATCAAATATTTATATTTCGAACACATCAATAAACAGGGTAAAATATATGGTATATACATACATATATATTCTCTAGTGGTGTTCAACTAAGGCAATTTTAACAAAAAGTTAATTGTTAAGCAAAAACTACTTTACAGTTTTCTATACGTTTTTTTTAAACATACTCAACCAACACTAATCTAAAATTAATGAACATGTTTTTTCATGAAACTGTGTGTAATAAATTGTAAGGCAAATATTAGCAACAAAGCAAAAGAATTTAAACCGGTTTAAAATTATAAGAGGCAATTGGAGCATACAAATTGAATTTTTAATGAATTCTTACGGTTTTACGTTACACACAAGTCGTCTCTAAGTAAAAAGCCCAATTACTGTATATACTTACATATGTTTGTGTGCGTATTTTCTTGTCTACGTATAAATAATATACATATATAAATTTGTATAGTTTATTTTTTAATAAAAACCGAATGAACATTTTGCATTTTGTACAAGGAAAACACTTTTACGCGCACACAACCACGCAGGACTTTGATGAACTGATACGGTAAGGCAGGCTCTGTTCAAAGCCTCGTAAAGCCCCTTGGCCGCCCCTATCAGGCATATTAAACATTTTTATGCTTAGCACAATCGGTGGAACGGTTGGGGCTTTTGTGGCAAACACACTGCGTCAAAATAGACGCTCCATCATCATCATCATCATCAGCAGCAGCAGGCAATGGCGTTGTAAAAATGCCCCCGTCTGCTCTATTTTATGCCTACAAGGTTCGTGTTCGAATGCAAGCCAAAACAAAACAAACTCCAACAAGGCAAGGGAACAGCAAACAAACGAACTTGGCATGTTTATTTCAGCCTCGAGTTAACGGCGGAAATGGTTTTCGAATGTTGAACTTTGCGCTGAAATGTATGCTATGAAGTTTCGATTTCGCTACTAATGCAGGATCCGCAGCCAAATTACCGAGAATAATGAAAAACGTGTGCGTGAATGCCGAAATGGTAAGACGACATTCCTATTCACACACACACACACAAACACATTGCAGCTCTGCATGGGTACATTTTTTTATATCAGACTGTAGCAAATCAATTGTTTGTTAATTTCTCAACCTTTATTAATCATTCGTTTATTTATTACTAGGCCGTTTTCAGCAATAGTAGACGGTCAAAAGTCTAATAAAAAATCATATCTTGAAGCATATTCAATGAAATCTACCGCATTTTTTAAAAGATAAACACTCACTGATTTTTACTTTATCGAAATGATTTATTTAGCAGTGTGCCCTCATGGCTTCTAGTAATCTAAAAAAGTATTAAAGATCAAAAGACTGTTCGATGTGTTCCATGGGTTTTTTGTTACATTCCATTGTCATTTCCTACTTTTTCTCGCATTTATAGTACTACGTGGTTTAAAACAGGTATTTATTTATTACTTGTGCTCTGCACATCCCTGTGACTCGTGCCTGCAGAACTCTAATACATATATGTCACTACGTACTAGTAATGATTTGTCGGCCGCCACTTCGTTGACAGCTTGGCTTGACCACGGAGGCGTTCTCGGACGCTCGTCACCAGTCAATTATGCGCAGAGTCGAACTCTCTCCAACTGGGCGACACGTTTCAAATTTGATGGCCCGATTGTTTGCAGAAGTAACGCTCTAAAATGTACAAGGGCAGTACTTTAACATGCGCTAACATTTTTATGCGTGCACATTTAAATTTAAAAGTCGTAAAAAAAGTGTAGGGGAATATAATATATTTTATTTTCCTTTACGCTCATCACAAAATACCAAATGTAGAGCTGGCCAGTTTATGGCCGCATTTGAAATGAGCGTTGCGACCAACCTATGGAATTAAACGCATTCCCCTTCCCATAGCATGTCGTTTCGTTTATTGATACGACCAGAGGTCAAAATGTGGGACGACATCCTCGCTATTGTTGTGCCTATTGTCCCAAGGACTTAGCACAATGGACCAGCGAGCTAACTGTAATCTAAATTGCATGTGGCAGCAAAAGCGATGGAGTTGGGGGAGTTGGAATTGCTCAGTGTGGAGACGGAGGGACTTTCAAACATTTATGGTTGGTATATGGGAACCAAAGTTATAATTAATTGATGTAACACAACTGCAAAATGTTCATCAAATTTTTCCAATTTACAAATGGTAAATATAAAAAATGTAAACTTTCATTATCTAAGAACACACGAACCGAACTAAGTGGCACAAAATGGTTGGTAATTTGCCTTCACAAAAGTTAACAATCAAAAGCAGACTGTGACCCACATTCCAGATTCCCTGTCTTTTAACCGCCACCCCAATCAAATCTTATTTCAGCTTTTATTGCACAATTCGCAACCATTCGTTTCATTCAAGCGTGGACCAATAATGATTTCGCGAAACATCAAAACAACAACATAAAAGCAAACATAAGTGGTATTTGGAGGGCTGCCAGGATGCCAGGAGACGTTAGGCCCATGACCAAACGGGCCTCATCAAAAATTTATCGTGCGTGGATAGCATAAATAGATTACACACATATATGTATGTATATGTATGTTAATACATCACAGCGGAGATGTAAGGGTGCCTGAGATTTCCAATATGAAAACATTTATCATTGGTTGGTTTCTCTAATTGCTTGTCATACTCGTACAAATAGCTTAAGGGCCATAAAAATTCAGTGAACGTTTAGACCGCACTATAAACATAACTGAGTGATGACTGGAATTGCTGCAATCATCAATTTATTCTGTAATCCATAGACAATGAAAAGGATTGCTTAATGGTTTATTTGCCATTCGTTTTATTTCTGCTGAAAAAAAATTAATGAAATATTTTGAATCTAAGCGAGAGCATATTTACTGCAAGACATCTCTTAATACTTTTCACTTGAAATCGTAGAGGCAACGTATCTAACAATTGCACTCACCGGCTCCTACAGTAGAGGAGTAAGGCACCAACAGTTAGATTTTTAAGGAGGCTCACAAAACGGCATTTATCACCCATCACTGAAGACCTACTTGTAGTTACATATTGTGAATAGCTGGTGTCGATTGAAATGAAGAAGGCGCTATTAAATTCAATGTTAACTATTTCTTGTTATCTGAATTTACGTTGAAACAAGAAATATAAGAAAAATGAAAAATAGTTATGTCGTGAGATCATTTAATAACAATAATAACTTACATTTATTACCTAATCTTCTCGGATATAGAAAAAATATTTGTATTTAAAGATAAATAACTGGAAACGTGTAAATAAATAATAAAAAATTTATATTAGATTTTAAAGCTTAAAACTTTTCTTCATTTCCTCATTCTGTGCTTTTGATAGTAGTATGCCGGCTGATGTACAAGTATGTTCATCTTCAAAATCCTTATATGATGAACTTGGCTACTTGTTCCTTTAGCGTTATATATGTTAGTATATATGTATATACTTACGAGTAAACTAGATTGTTTTCTTATCTTATAAATAAAAATTATAACACGTTCATTTTTAAATACACATTAATTATAAAATATATAATAATGGCTTGAAAGGTCATTAAAGAAATAAGGTATTTAAATTGTTGTTAAATTATGCTTTGATATTTTAACGAAAATTCACATTTTTTTTAATTTACAAAAAAATCTTGTGCGACTTTTTATAAAGGTCTGGATTGGTGTGCTTTGTTTAATTTTTACATTTTACAATACACTGTTTATTTGGGATTTCTTTAGCTTCCAGTCTTTCAATGAAAACTTAACTGCCGTCTCTTTAGTTTTTTCTTCAACATCAACATACACGTATTTCCTTAACAATTTTTTTAACATTCCTTTTATTTGTTTTAAGCTTGCCATTTGAGTAAAAAGTTAGCTTAAAAGCCGCTTAAAGTTTAAAGTTACTTTGTTTTAATTTGAATAGCCGTTTCAGCTGCATGCGAAAACTTTGAGTGTAGCGTAATATGGCGTGTTTCCATCAAATTAAGTAAGAGAACTTAACATAAGTGAAAACAAATAAAAATATTTACAAATAAAGGGACATTTGCTCGTTTAACACAGTGTTGTAAGAAATGTGATTTTTTAAATTCGGGCCTTTTAGCATTCTGTTCAAATGTAATCGATTACTCTACTTGCGTATCGAATATTAAGTAAACAGCTGTGCAGCTGTCAGAATTATATGCGCGCGCAGGCATTAGTGATGGTGGAGTATTCGATGTATAGGATTTCAATGGCGGCTCACGTGCAATTTAAACCGCTTTCTTAGAAAGTTGGTAAGGCAGGTACGAAGATGAAAGAAAGATAAAATCAAACAACAAACTTTGATTTCAACTTCAAAAATATTAAAAAAATATATAAAAATTCATAGCATTTTTAATAGGCCATTGATTGTATATAATAAAAATTTGCAGTATTTCTTTTTTAAATAAATAAATAAAGCCAAAAATTTGAAGCCATGTCGGTAAAGGAGATTCTCAAAGAGGGTCCAACACTAATGAGTCATATATGCGAGCTAAACATCAAGAGTCAGGCCTCCCATAGACGTCTCATCTCGCTGATTGCTACGATATCGAAAACATCTCGAAATCCTGAAACCATTTACAAGATGATACTGAAAGGTGTGAGTGTGTTTCGCATGAATTTCTCGCACGAGTCCCATGAAGCGCATGCACTGACCATTGAACTGATAAATGGGGCGTTGGAGCGGATTAAGAAGGAGACAGGGCAGACACTGGCAGTAGCATTTGCTGTGGACACGCGTGGCCCACTAATACGCACAGGTCTGCTGGAGGGGGCCGCTGAGGTGCAGATGAGGCAAGGGGACAACATACGGCTGTCCATCAATCGGGATTTGTACGACAAAGGCAACAAGGATGCCATTTATGTGGACTATCCGAATATTATAAATTTGACCAAATCGGGTGATCGTGTTTTCATAGACGATGGGAAAATCTTCCTCATCATCACCGAAGTGGGCGTGGATGGGCTCATGTGCGAGGTGGTGCAGGGCGGTATGCTGGGCAACAATTGCAACGTCATACTGCCAGAGGTTGAGATCGATTTGCCCTCTGTATCGGAGAAGGATATGTATGATTTGCAGTTCAGCATGCAGGCGAATGTGGACTTTGTATTTGCCTCGGCAGTGCGCAGTGCCAAGAACATTAAGGAACTGCGTGCAGTGCTTGGGGAGAAGGGCAAGCACATCAAGATCATTGCCAAGGTGGACAGCAAGATTGCGCTCAGTCGTGTCACGGAAATTATGCGAGAGTCCGATGGCTTGCTGATTTCCCGAGCCGATCTGGGCACCCAAATACCCGTCGAAAAGTTATTCATTACCCAAAAGTCGGTTATCAGTCAATGCAACAAGGTGGGCAAGCCCGTAATTATTGCCTCCCATGTGCTGGAATCAATGCGGCAGCATCCCTTTCCCACTCGCTCCGAATGCTTCGATTTGGCCAATGCGGTCATCGATGGCGCCGACGCCATTATGCTGTCCTCTGAGGTGGCCATCGGGCTGTATCCGAACGAGACGATCAACGTTTGTGACGCCCTCTGCCGTGAGGCTGAGAAGGTGATCTGGTATCGTGATCTCTTCAACGATTTAGTGAGCGAGACGCGCGGAGAGCTGGACGCGGCCCATTCGATGGCCATTGCCGCTGTGGAGACAGCTAAACGTACCAATGCCACTCTTATTATTGTGCTGACCACATCCGGACGATCCTCGGCCCTCGTTAGCAAATTTCGTCCTCGTTGTCCCATCATGGCAGTGACGCGGTGTGAGCGAGCCGCTCGCTGGGTTAATCTCCATAGGGGCGTCGTACCTGTATTATATACAGGAAATCCAGATGAAGACTATGTCACCGATGTCGATATGCGTGTAAGATTCGCTTTGACCACGGCCAAGAAGAATGATTTGATAAACGACGGGGATCCCGTTGTCATTGTGAGTTCGTGGAAGGAGGGCGGTGGCTTTACGAATACCATTCGGGTTATCTACGCCTTCTTTGAGGCGGACCGTGTCGATTGCCTGTTTCGTGCTGATCGACGCTCTTCACGTAAAAACACAAACCTGCAGAACATAGTGACGCAAGAGGATCCGACATCAGGTGTGTATTTAAAACATATATTGCAGTGCAAGCTGCTTACTTTAGCTGGTTACTACTATAGTCAGACATAAATGCTATTCCACGAATCTTATCAGAGTAATGATCCATGTATTTACAAATTGTTAAAATTCTATAATTATATGAAGCTTAAAAAACTATGCTATTGAAGACAAGGGCTAGTATTTAAAAACATCTACATATATAGTAAAACCAGGAGATACATATCTAGATCAGCTACAGACACGAACAAATTTATTGCAATACATACTTTACAATATTGAGCTATTTTTCTTATGAATTCATTGTGGATAGTCGGAAATGAGATTAGTTATAGTAAATCAAACTTTTAAACACGTGTGAATATAGTTCCATCAAATAGTTAGAGAAATTTCGGAATACCCGAAAGCAATAGCAGCTAAAAATTTGTTTAATAAAAGCTAGTCAAAAGCATCACTGTACGTAATTGGGAAAAGGAGGACATTTATTTCTACCTCTCTAATTTGTTCTTTATTTAAATCTGCTTTTCATTTCAGAGAAAAAGGTGTCTCGCATCACTCGAGCGTCAAACTAAGCAACCGTATATTTTGGATGCCTGTGGTGCAGCGGGGCGGCACATTGGCGGTGCAGATGCGACCGGCGCTGTCGAAGAAAGTGTTGTAGGGACAGTAATAGACGATGCCGTTCCAAACACCGTTGCGTATATAACAGCTTATGTACCTATAGTGTATTGAGAATTTGTTAGTTTCGAATAAATGTGAGCTGATGACATAGTTTGATAACTTACTGCCTGCAAGTACTCTCTAATAGAATGCCATAGGGGAAGCGTCCAGTATTCTGTATTAAACGGCAATATGCTGTGGGGTCTGTGGGGTCCGGTGTGGGAGCCGTTGTGGGAGCCGTTGTGCTATCCGGTGGGGTGGTTGAGTCCAAAAAGGAGCAGGTGGCGGGAGTGCCTAGCGTTTCGTTGCCACAGATATGGGGGGTGTCGATATTGCAGACATGGTAGGGCGCACAATTCCCTGTTATGGAGGAAACGTTGCTGGTGCCCAGACAGAGGGCAAAAGTGCGAGGTCCAGTGCAGGCGAAGGTCTGATTTTGATTACAAACATTGCAGCCCGAGCAAGCTGACTCTGCGACGCTGCTGTCCTCACAGATAACGCTGCCTCCCGTGCAGACCGAACCATCGGGACAGCTGTTGACCGGACCCGTGGGCGAGCTATCCTTGCAGAACTGGAATTGTGTGTCTGAAACGCAGGCGACTTGACTAGGATAGGTGCAGGTATTGCAGTCCCCGAAAACCAGTGAGACGGCAATGCCGAGCTGCAAAGCGTAAAAAAATATCCGGGAGTACATTTTGCTCGATTTCGAAAGTGCAACTGCGCTTTGGATGTAGTGCACCAGCCTTAAATAGAGAGCTCGGTGAACCAATCAGATTAGATGTCTTATCTAATTGTGAAAACATGTGTTTATAAGCAAATAAGTAACAGAAAATCTGTTTTCGTAAACTGGGAAGATATCTCTGCAAGGTCATACTGATATCGTCCAGGTTTTCGTTACAATAAGGCTATATATTTAAGAAATACATTTATTTAAGTAAAATACCACAGCCCTGATTCCAAATATTTAGAAAGCGATTTTCTTAAATTTATAAATCAGACAGCAATTTTTAATTGATTACCAAATTTAACTGATTCAGCCAAATGTATATTTTGTATTTTAAACTTAGATGTCCCCTCTGAATTCATATGATTGTCTGGGAATTAGAAGGAAACGTGTTTCACTCAGAACTGTATTTGATTATGTTTTCATTTTCCTATTATGAAGTTGTTTCTGTTCATTTCTTTCCTTACATCCAGTTTGAAAAGGAATGTATATATTTGTATTTCTATAAAAAAAAGACCACTAAACTTAAGCTGCGTTTTCAATACAAACAATTTGCAGATCCTGTTCTTTTTATCTGCAATCAATTTCTACATTTTACCTCAAGTGCTTCAAAAATAATGCCTGCTCAAATTTATTTCAAAAGTCTTGAATGCTTAATTCATTTCACCCTCATCGATTGCAAATCAAAAGAATATTGAGAAAATTACAAAAACTATAAGGAGCATCGCAAAATACTCACTTTCATTATCTGCGCTAATTAATTTCAATCATTAAATGACAGATTGTTCAGAGTGGCTGGAAGGACTACAACGTTTTTATAGCCTGTACCCAAAGGAAACACTCCCCCGCGAATTTCCATAACTCCCATGGAATTTCAAATTTTTCAGGTAGTGATTGTGTGTCCGTATGCCAAGTGTCATCATGGTCTAATATGAAGAAAGTTATAGCCATAAATCGAATCTCTGCCCAAGCTCTGCTCGCAGCTCTTGTTTTTGCTGCTTTAACTTATTACTGTACTGCACACACACATGCATATAGACACGCATAGACATGATTCTGATGTAAATGTATGCTGTTGAAATTGTACATTAATACTTACATAAGTACAGGGTGCGCCATCTTTTATGTCGGTGTGTAGATATTGAATGTCTTTGTCATTAGTGAACCGATTGACTTGAGTAGACCAGTGTTGAAAACCTCAGTTCAAGAAATTGTACAGAACCAAATCAAAAAAAACAAGAGAGAACGCTACAGTCGAGCAAGCCCGACAATGTAATACCCTGTACCCAGGTAAACTTCCGTCACTGAGTTATATGCGCCCAAAGCAGCAGCAAAAAGAGGAAGAAGAAGAGCGAACTTGTTGCTGCAGTTTGTGGGGGTTGTACTGGCCAGAATTTGTTTCGCTAATAACTTTTCTTAGAATTGACCGAATTATATAAAATTTTAAACAACAGTAGATAAATATGTTTAAATTATGTGTGAAAAGTTTGGTTTAGGTAGCATTTGAAATGTGGACGCTATTGACGAAATTCTGTAGCGGGGGAAAGGGGGGGAAAATTCCAAAAAATAAAATAAACTCGTCCTTTCTCGGACCTAGGAGAATCTGGATGCCAACCTTGATTATTCCAGCTTTTATAGTTTCTGAGATCCTCGCGTTCATCCAGACGGACAGACGGACGGACAGACGGACGGACATGTCTAGATCGATTTCTTTCGTCATGCTGATTCAGAATATATATACTTTATGGGGTCGGAGATGCTTCCTTCTGCATGTTACATACTTTTTACCCTACGGGTACAGGGTATAAAAATATCTCATACTTGAAAATCATAAAATATCATTTTTTTAATAGACCTCTTGGAATTAATTCCAATATTATTCTAATAGCCTAAAAACAAACACCTAAAACACTTCTAAAAGTTGGCTTTTGCTTAAATTTTTTATTTTTGTTAAGAGAAAAGTACATCATTCCAATGTAATATTGAATAACTGTATATTTTGGACGCCCAGAGAGCAGCGGGCCGGCACAGTCTTGGTGCAGTAGCGGGAGGTGCTGTCGAAAAATAAGTTGCCGGGACAAGTGTAGATAGCGCCGTACCAGATGCCGCTGAGTAAATAACATCCAATGTACCTACAATATGATTTGTTAGTTTCAAATAAGCGTTACCTGATCTACTACTCGATAATCGACTTACTGCCTGCAAGTGCTGCACAATAGAGTGCCGTAGGGGAAGCGTCCATTCTGTCTAATCAAACGGCAATATGCAGTAGGATCTGTGGTGGGAGTCGTCGTTGGCTCAGGTGTGGGAGTTGAGTCTATAAAGGAGCAGGTGGCGGGAGAGCCCAGAGTGGCGTTGCCACAGATATTGGGGGTGTCGATGTTGCAGACATGGTAGGGTGCACAGTTCCCTGTTATGTTCGAAATAACGCTGCTGCCCAGACAGAGTGCGAAAGTGCGAGGTCCGGTGCAGGCGAAGGTCTGATTTAAATTACATTCATTGCAGCCTGAGCAGGCCGCCGGTGCAACGCCGTTGCCTTGACAAATAGTGGCGCCACCCGTGCAGACCATTCCATTGGGACAGGTGTTGACCGGACCCGTGGGCGAGTTGTTGACGCAGAACTGGAACTGTGTGGCTGAAACGCAGGCGACTTCGCTGGGATAGGTGCAGGTGTTGCAGTCGCCACGAACCAGGGAGACGGCAGTGCCGTGCAGCAGAAGGCAAAACAAAATCCGGGAGTACATTTTGCTCGATTCCGAAAGTGCAACTGCGCTTTGGATGCAGTGCAGCGATTATAAATACAGAACTTTGTTGTCTATCTTATCTAATTGTGCATTAACGAGCTGGGCTGATTATTTATCAGCTAAGACCGTTAGAAAACTATTTGCGTAAACTGAAAACTGAGAAAGAGATAGTGATACCGTACGCTTTAGCTTAGTGATCTTCTGCAGTGAAACAGCCTCTGAAATATTTGATTGTGAATACAAGTATATTCGTTTTTTAATGCCTTAAGCCTTTTTTATATACCTGTCACTAAAAGAAGTAAGATTTGGTATCTTTTCTGCTACAACACAACAATTTTAATCATACTTTAGTGAGATATAAAACAAAATAATATAATATAATAAAATAAAATTCAGCAATTTTATTTTAAAATAAAATTTTCTAAAATTGTTGTTTTATTTAATATCAGTCCGAATAAGACAATTATTAAATCAGTTCATGTGCCTTGAGTAGTGAAATCTTACAAAAGACAAGATTAAATGTTTCTTTTAATTAACTTTGGTGCTTCGAAGATTAAAATTAAATTTCATTTGAATTGGAAGGTTAAGCGGGTGCTTTCTTAAAGTAGAAATTAAATTTAAACCAATCCTTAATATGAATATGGTCTTGAACAAAACACAAAACTCTAAGTTAAATATAAAACAGGCAGAATATATTTACTTATATGCAACTCATATTTATACTTACTTATCCTTAATCGGGATAAATAAATAAAGTGTAACTAACTAGGTTAGTTGTATCTAAGAAAACTATGTTTTGTGACTAGTGCATTAATTTATACTATTTTTTCTTGTCGCACTAGGAACTTGAAATAAATAATAATAATAAATAAATAAATAAAAATCGTTCTACTATAGATAGAAATGTTTGTTCGTTCGTCTGTTTGGATGAATGCTTGGATTTCGGAAAGGGCATTTTTTTATAGGCGAGTGACTTTGTGGATTGCTAATTAGGTCAGCCAGATAGTTGATGCTCTCAGCACCCCAAAGTATGCAATGAGAAGGAGGTGGTAACTTTTGTCAAAAATTAGGTCTGTTTATCTAAATCGCTTCAATTAAGACGAGGTCATTAGGTAGTTAAAGCAATTAAACATTTAAACAGCTTTGCCGAAAATTCTATAAAAGCTTTGTCTTAGCAGTGCACTGAAAACAGTTCACAAACAAGCACCCATTAGGGAGTTATCCAAAAAGTTAGTCGGTTATTTTTTTAGGATGGTATCTGAAGTATATTTGCTGCGCATCCTGCAAGTGGGAGTCCTGCTGAGCTTCTGCATGGGTGCGCATGCGATGTGCAACGTGTGTAGCCCGCTTAATAGCATGGCCTGCTACTCATCGACCCAAATGCAGGCCTGCGACGTTAACAGTCTGCCTGTGGGACCGGCCTTCAGCTGCCCCAATGGCTTTGTGTGCACATATGGCACAGCTGGCGTTATCTGCGAGCCCTCATCTACATCGGCCAGCTTGGCAGCTTGTCAGGATTGCAACAAATGCGATGCGAACAATACTTTTGCGTGCACGAGCACCGGCACCTTTGCCCTTTGTCTGGGCACAACTGCACCACAGCAGGTGGTGGGAACATGTGCTCCACAATACGTCTGCAACATTAATAATCCGGAGATATGTGGCCAAGTAACGCAGGGTGTAAGTATGCCGAGTAGCTTATGGAATGCAGCATTGCTCAAATGATTTCCTACAGGTAATGCCCACCTGTTCACATGCTGATGATAAGAGACCCCACCCAACCTGGAGACCCCCACCGCCCTCACACCCTTGGACCACCACCACCACCATTGCGCCAAGCACCACAACAACAACAACAACCACAACCACAACCGTATCCCCTGGCACAAACCCAACAGCTTACTGCAATGTGATCCGCATGCCTGGCAACTATCCCGTCGGCACGAATCCGACTACCACCTGCAAGCAGTACGTGAAATGCTGGATACTCAACGGTTCCTGGTATGGTCAGGTCTACACATGTCCCGGGAGCACCAACTTCAATATCGCCACGCGACTCTGCCAATCTATTCCTCTGCCCACACAATGCTCGGCCGCAGTGGTCAGCTTAAGTCTCAACGGCGTCGAGTTGGATTAACAAATAATTATTCTCATTCATAATTATCAATATTCTCTATTATACCAAGCAATAATATAATCGAACCTATTCATAATTATGTACATATATTATCTATAACAAGTTGAATACATTATCTTTATATTACAAAAATACAGCTTACGAAGATATACAGAGTTGACTTCGCTTTCTTTTATTAAAATACTAGAAAGAGAAACCCTATTTAAACAAGTGGAGGAGCTAATGTCGGGTGTCCCGACTTTGAAATACTCTGTACAAATGTGTAGAATAATTATGCGTGTATGTGTGTGTCTGTGTATGTCTCGTGTGCCCCTGCACAGATCTTTGAGATCCAGGTATTTATACAGATAGACATAGATAGACTCGTCTTGTAATGCTGATCAAGAATATATATACATCTGTGTGTTACATGCATACTCGCACAAAACTAATATACCCTTTTACCCTTTGGGTACAGGGTATGAAAGCGAGCAGATCATTAGGGACCTGCAAGCCCGATTTGTGAAAACGGTGTATCCTGTGTTGCCTTTCAGCTTAAACAGGCTTTGTTTTACCAATCATTCCTATGAAAACTATTTAATATAGTAATAATAAAATGATAAATAAAGCTCACTATGAATCCGTAATTGACTTTAAAATAAAACGCTTCAATATTTAGCAAAGTACTTCAATCAATGTGACTAATATTAATGTAATATAATTATGCCGTAGAGTATTTAGTTTAAAAATTAATAAAAAGTTCGATTTTAAATGTCGCGACAGAATTTTTGACCACTTCGCCATTTTGTTTGTATTCACTATACACCCACTATAAATCAAATATACGCCTGCCTGTCCGTCTGGATCTCAGAAAGTATAAGAGCTAGAATAACCAAACTTGGTATACAGATTCTCCTGAGCCCGAGAAAGGACGAGTTTGTTCATTTTTTTCGATACACCTCCCGCTATTCCCAATTTTCTATAACTAATTCTTGGTGATTATCTTAGTGATTATGTGTCTGTTTTTTAAGTTTCATTATGATAGATCATTTAGAATGAAAGTTATGGCCATAAATATAATCTCCGCCAAAGCTCTGCCCACAGCTGTTGTTGTTGCTGCTTTGCCGTATTTCTGTACTGCATACATATACGCATATAAACACATATAGACACGATTGTGATGTAAATGTACGTCTGTTGGAACTGAACATAAACATATTTCTCCATGTATGTATGTAACTACATATGTATTGAATATTGTTTATTTAATTTAGTAAAATAATTTAATTAATTCAATTTTTAAAATATTTTTTTAATAATAATACAGGGTATTTAAGAGTTGAGCTCGCTCGCTCGCTTTAGCATTCCTCTCTTGTTCTTGCTGAAATGGATCTTTCTGTCAACCGGCTTTTAAGTTATTGCTGAAGCGTAACTATCTTCTTTTTTAGTTTTTCTTAAACAATGCCCACCTATTTTAAGTAATAATGTTAATAAATATAAAAATTATTCAGCAATTCAACATTTCCTAAGAAAAATAAAAAATTATAAAAGAGAATATATTCAGCTTATTTGATGAAAAAGTGATATGGCAAATGCTTCATCATGTCGGTAGAAGATGTTGTTATTTAGATAATCAAGCGAATCTGTTTTAGGAAGCAGACATTTATTTTATCCTAAGATAAGATAAAATTTTGGCAGTAATTTGTTTTCATTTTAGACTTGGAGAAGTCACTTGAGCCATTTGTCATACACATGCTATTTAAGAGTGATCTGTAAAAATCGTTAAAAGACAAAAATTGTGCTAGGGGTTGTGCTGACTTGTGACAATGTTTTCCATTTAGTACGCAGTTGAATTGAATTGTATATATATTCCATATTTATATATTAAGTTGTACGAGTATAATTTGAATATTTTCACATTCTACAGACAATAGCTGGGCTTAATCGTGGTGCATAGTTGCTTCTCGATTTGGAAATAAGTATTCGCAGGGCATGTATACTCAATCGCCTTTATGACAGCCAATTTATAAAAGCAATATATATAGCTGCAAAGATGAACAATTTAAAATATTTGTGTCACGTTTATTTGAAATACAAACCGTTGGCAGTACACATCTTCCGGCACGGTTGGAAAGAGTCCTGATTCACGCCTCTCCTCACAGACTCTTAAAGGCGTCCAACGTATGGTGGGCGTGCTAGTTTCCGTGCTACTGGGAGTGGAATCCGAGGAGCTATCCATGGTGCTGCCGGTTGTGGAGTCCGTTGTCTGCACTGTTGTTGTATCTACCTGTTCGTCCGCGACATCGCAGGTAATGGTTGAGACTGTATTCTCTGGCACGCAAACAGCATCGCTGCCCGCATGGCATACGAAGCCAGTGGGGCAGTATCCAAATTTTCCAGCTGGTTGCGAGGACCCATAACACATCTGAAAGATGCCTCGACTCAGGCAGGCGAACAAATAGTTTCTATGGGCGCTGCACTGCCCGCACAGCGCCGTATTCCCACAGCTCGGGGGCCGTTGAGCGTTTTTCTGCACGCAAATGGCTCTCAGGTCGGTGCACTCGAAGCCATCTAGGCAATGGTAGAGTTGCTCCTGATTCGGCGTAATGCCTAGAAATGGATGTTTTTTAGAAGAATGGAGATTAGAAAGACGCGTAAGATTTTGGATTTAAATAATACAAAAGGGTATTAGTTATTATCAGAAATGGTTTTTAGATTTTCTAGATCTAATCAGATTGAAATATATTTTTATACTTCTATACACAGTGATCGGTCCTTCTTAATACTAAATTTAAATTATCATATTATAATGCGAGTCAACCGTTTTTTGTGGACTTTATGACATATTGATTTGATTTTAATGAGACTTCAGAAATAATGTACTATTGAAATATCAAGCAAATAAATTATGGTCACGTAGCAAATAATTGGCTTACAAAATTGATAAATTTCTCAAGTAATGAATATGTTTTTTTGAAGAAACGACTAAGAATTCTATTCGAAAAAATAGTTGTTAACCACAGCAAACCTCTTTGGGATTTATTTTTTGTACTATGTCTAACCATAGTATAGTTAAAATAAATTCTACCAATCGTTTCTAAGGCAGTTCTATAATAAATATAATATTATTATATCATGTTAATATTGGTATCCAAAGGTATTATGATTAAAAAGAATTTAATGTTCATATAGATTTAGGATTTGTCGCGAAGAACCGTTATGTAATGGTACTTTTTAAGTTTGTTTTTTTGTTTGTTGGCGTTCTGGACCTCCCCAGGGACTAGCCGGATACTACAACCACATTCTAAATGAAATAATAAACTGTGAAGTTTATCTTTATCGAATTTAATGATTGTCCATGATGGACAATTTTAAATAAAATACGAAAAAAAAAAAATTTGAACAGAGTTAGAAGATCGTGTACAAAATATTTATATTATTAGCTTTAAAAAGCTTTTTTATGAGCGCGAATGTATGTATCGATTCGCCATGTCGAGCTAATGATACTACTGCCTTTTTTATGCCTATTACATATATATAGACTTTTAATATATCCTTTGGGATTTAACATTTAAAAACTCATACTCTTTCTCGTCTTTTTTTAGCCATAATGTTTTATAAGGCATATATTAAGTATTCACAATTATTATTATAATTTCATTTCACAACAACTGCCTCACTCAAACGATAATGAATCACATACACACCTCCGAAGCACATGTAGTACGAGGTCGAGTTAATGCAGGCCGCTCCATTGCTCTGACAAACATTGCAATCGGCCGTACCTTCCCGGGCCAGCCACAGTATTGTACACTAGTGCAACAGAATCGGTTAGCCAGGTGGTAGTTACTGAAAACGTTTACTTACGAAACTTGCAAAAAGCACCAAGTTCGCAGTTCCTCGCGTTATCAAAAACATTTTCAAAAGATTTTAGTATGCGCGGAAGGTTCCTCACGCTTTCAAGGTTCTACAGCTACTGCGGACTCCTAATCTCTGGCCTCGCGTCTAACTTACCCAAAGTTAGTGAAATTTGTTCATCGTTTACGTACGCTTCATGCTTGCAAGCATGTTAATTACTTTATTTGCTTTGACTTTCCAATGTTTATGTTGGTGTCAGCATTAAATACAGCTTAACACTTTTATCTTTCTCTCCCTCTATATGGATTTCCGCATCTTTGTTGTGGGTGCTGATGCGAACTTGACTGATTTGAAGGTAAGGCGTTTGAGATTAGAACCACAACATTGAACTCGAGGTATTCAGAGGTAGTTGAGTGTTAATGAAGATGGGTGAAGCAGTTTTTACCAAATACTTGTAGGTAATTGGTCAATATTTAAAATGCCAGTTAAGAACTGTTTGTCTTTAGCCATAGATCCATTACCAGTCGAGAAACTCGTGCAATTTGGAGTTCGTCGAACTAAGAGAAATATCGTACAGCGTAGATAGTATACAAGTATTTTATTTAGCTTCTGATTAAGAGACGAGCTTAATTGTAATATCTATATGTGTATTTTGGTATCTTTGGCTTCAGACACAGCCAGGGCCAGTTGGTCTTTCGGGTACACAATAAGTTAATGTGGCATTAAAAAAGGGATTAGCCGAAGGGCACTCAAGGATGGTGCCGATCCAAGTGTCGCCTTTTCTATTACAGAAGATGTAACTGGAAAAATGTTGTTGTTATATTACAGGAAATACTATAGTTTTCATATTCTTCAAAACTCACGATGTACAAACAGTGTCGCCTGGAAATGCAAAACGCCCCGTGGGTCCATTTTCACAAACTTGTGTTTCGGGTTCTTCCGTGCTCGTGGTGGGTGGTTCATCCGTACTTATAGGCAAGTCAGTGGGTGGTTCATCCGTACTTATAGGTGGTTCGTTAGTTCCTCCTGGAGATGTGTCCGAACTTCCAGGCGAGGTACTTGTGGATGGTTCAGTTGAAGTACCTGAACTGTCTCCCGTCGTTGTAGTAGTGGTTTCATTTTCACCTCCACTATCAGTTACCCTATCGCATATATCATCGAAGCTGGAACCGCAACGCGAAATACAGGGTGTACCTGCGGCAGCACCAGCTACGCTGCACACGTTCCCCTCCGGGCAAGTGGCTCTGCCCGCAGTAACTGCCCCATCGCTGCACTTGCCGAAGGTGTTCAGCGAGGTGCAGGTGTAGATATCATTGGCGCCGCAACTTTCACATTGGGACACATCGCCACAGGCCCGAGGAGCACCCTCCGCCATGCAGATTATGCCGAAAGCCGTACATACCGGTCTATCCCCGGGACAGCTATAAGTAATGCTCTCATCGCGTACACCTGTACAACAGAAGAATGTGGAGATTGTGTGAATTGTATTTGTTCTAAAATCAAGAACCGCAGCTGGTCAATAGTTGGGTAAGTTGGAAAATTCTTACAAGTGTTTTAATTACAAAATTCTAAGTTAAAGCATTTTTAAAAATATTTTAAAGTGCATCATTTAGTATGTCACTGATTTGTCAATGAAACTGCTGCTTGATCCCGTAGAATCGGTCTTATGCTTAAAACGATGTGCTCAATAGGTTCCGAATTCGGAAACGGGAATAGGGCTTTTTTTTAAAGATTATTAGAGAAAGTTCATTTTTTCTTTATAATTATTATAGGTGTTATAGTTCTTTAGGTAATTTTGTCAATCGAGCGTATTTTCAATTAATTACTATATATGTACTTTTTTTCTATTCAGTTGAATATTATTTTTTCGTAATGTGTGGCAATGATTCCCGGCAGATATATTTTCTAAAACAAATTCATGTATTTACCTTTTATATAATAATGTTGTTTTTATCTTTTCCATTATTTAATTAATTTTTCTCAATGATTTTTTTTGTGTTCATTTAGATATAGTTCGAGTATATAATCTGGAATCACATAGTCTGGAATTTCACGCTCCCTTTTGTTCCTGATTGTAGCTAATTGACTTACCATTGTAGCAGACCTGAAAGGTGGAGAGGCCGGTGCAGGCGTGGGCCGTGTAGCACTGACCGCAAGTGGCCTCGACTGGTGGAGGCACCAGCAGGCAGGCTAGGAGCGCGAGCAAGTGGAAAGGAATCTTGCTCATAGCATTAACTATTGTAGCCCTCTTCAAGGCAACTTTGTAACTAACGGGGTTACAGCTGCGCTCTGGAATTTATAAAGTCGGGTAAGGGCACGTGTGATTTCTGCCATGGCTTATCTTTGTGGAAATAGTTTCTCACCGTAGTGGGTTTGGCCTTGGCCACGACGATGATGTTGCTCGCTTTATCTGGCCATAATGCTGCGCATAAAAAAAGAACATCTATGTTCATTTCCATTGAGGCTTATCTTTGTTTTTAGGTTCCTCATAATGTCAATGAAAAATACGAGTTGGTAGCTGGATAGCAAACGGGGAGGAGCCTTTTGTTTGCTCACTTTAAGCCGCACATTAAAAACACCTTATCTGGGGTGTTGGGCAATATAGCGGTAGCATAGTGATATAAAAGTCGAGCACATGCTCGCCCACTTCATCAGTCTGTCAGCTGCACCTAAACTTTTTGATATCACAGCAAGATGCAGGAGTCCCAGAAAACGCTGGTGGGTATAAGCTTCGAGAGATGCGTAGGTCCAAGAATGTTGCTTAAAAATATGTTTATGTAATTGCAGTTCCTCATCCTCGCACTAAGCTATGTGCTGGTCAATGTTTCAGGCGATTGTAATACTTGTCAGTCCAATAATGTGGCGTGCGTAAACGCGACCCATTTCAAGGTCTGCTACGATAATGTGCGTAACGATGAGAATATTATGGATTGTGGCGAGGGCAAGGTCTGCACAGATTTGGGCATCATTTGCTTCAATGAAGGATTTTATGAGCCCTCCTGTGATCCAACGGCTGCTGAAGCCAACTGCAGGACTTGCGATGGCAACCGTCTGTTCGTTTGCACGAGTCGAACCACTTTCCAAATGTGCAATGGCAATACACTGGGCCCCCAGGTTAGCACCTGCCCTCCAAACAAAGTCTGCTCGATAGATTCGGGTGAATTCTGTGTGGATGAGTGCGATGTGCCCGGCCAAATCGAGTGTAACATTCCTGCGCCCTAAACACTGAAAGTAACCCTATCACACTACACCTTAAACTAGGCTAGAAATTTCACATGATTGTAGAAAACATGAAAAATATATCACCAGCTGGAGATGTTCAGGAGAGCAATTGTTGCAGCGCACAAAAATAATTCCAAGTGCCTTTTACTAATATTGTCTTTTGCCGAAACTGCAATTGGCTTCAAATTTAGTTTTTAATCGAATGTTAAAGGGCTATCATTAGTTATAGAAACTTATGGTCGGAATGATTATGAATATACTTGTAGTATGTTCCCTAAATTAAAAGCAATACAAAATTAATGCATGTAAATTATTTTATTGACAAACTTAGCTGTGTCTAGTCTAGTTTAATTCCTAAAATAAAGCGGTTCACTTAAGTAGTTATGTTTAAGTAATTTTGGCTCATTCTTTGAAATATTTACATATTTGGTTTAACAATGGTTTAAATATTTTTAGATGTTTTATAACCAATCGGATATATTTTACAAGCTGATTAGCATAAGTATCTGCATGAGAATTTGCAATCACTCTACACAGCCAACACCCGTTGGCTTCTCAGGTCCACAAATTTTTCCAACAGTGAAGTATGGGTTTTCGGCAGGGCATTGAAGCCTAACGCCTTGCCAAACGCCTCCTCGGAAATTACAGTAGATGTAGCTGGAAGTATATAAATATTATGTATTTATTCGTAAATCCATTATGTTTGTACTAACCTTCTGCAATCCGTATCATTTGGATATGCGAAATATCCTGTGGGTCCGTTTTCACAAACTTGTGCTTCGGGACTCGGCGTTGTAGTGGTTGCAGGCGTTTCTGTAGTTGTGGTGGGTGGTTCAGTAGTAGTGGTGGGCTTTTCAGTAGTAGTGGTGAGTTTTTCAGTAGTTGTGGTTGATGGTTCAGTAGTAGTGGTCGGTGCTTCAGTTGTGGTGGTCGGTGCTTCAGTAGTAGTTGTGGGTGCTTTAGTAGTAGTGGTGGGTGGCTCTGTAGTGGTTGTGGGTGCTTCAGTTGTGGTGGTGGGTGCCTCTGTAGTGGTTGTGGGTGCATCAGTTGTAGTGGTGCGTGTTTCCGTTGTGGTGGTAGGTTCTTCAGTGGTAGTGGTGGGTGGCTCTGTAGTGGTTGTGAGAGCTTCAGTTGTGGTGGTGGGTTCTTGAGTGGTAGTAGTGTGGGGCTCTGTAGTGGTTGTAGGCGCTTCAGTGGTAGTGGTCGGTGCTTCAGTGGTAGTTGTGGGTGTTTCAGTAGTTGTGGTTGGTGGTTCAGTAGTAGTGGTGGGTGCTTCAGTCGTAGTGGTGAGTGGTTCAGTTGTGGTTGTGAGTGCTTCAGTGGTAGTAGTCGGTGTTTCAGTGGTTGTTGTGGGTTCTTCAGTAGTAGTGGTGGGTTCTTCAGTAGTAGTGGTGGGTTCTTCTGTTGTAGTGGTGGGTTCTTCTGTAGTAGTGGTGGGTGGTTCAGTGGTAGTTGTGGGTGGCTCAGTAGTTGTGGTTGGTGATTCAGTAGTAGTTGATAGTTCTTCACTTGTAGTTGTAGAAAGTTCAGTAGTAGTTGTAGGTACTTCAGTAGTAGTTGTTAGTGGTTCTGTGGTAGATTCATCAGTAGTTGTGGACACATCTGTGGTCGTAGATTCGTCAGTAGTTGTAGACTCTTCAGTTGCTGTGGATTGTTTGGTAAATATTTTAGTAATTGAAGAATCTTGAGATATGAATGATTCTTTAGTAGTAATAGACACACCTGTGGTTGTAGTTTGTTCAGTGGTTGTAGACTCTTCAGTGGTTGTAGAGGCATCAGTAGTTGTAGATTCTTCAGTGCTTGTAGTTTCGTCAGTAGTTGACGATTCGTCGGTGGTTGTGGACTCAACAGTTGTTGTAAATTCATTGGTGGTTGTAGAATCATTAGTAGTTGTAGACTCATCAGTGGTTGTTGAAGTTGCAGAATCATCAATAGTTGTAGATTCTTCAGTTGTTGTATTCTCGTCTGTTGTTGCCGGCTCTTCTGTGTTTGTAGACGCATCCGTAGTTGTAATTGGCGACTCGTCAGTGGTTATGGATACGTCAGTGGTTGAAGTTTCTTCGGGGATTGTAGATAGTTCAGGAGTTGAAGATTCATCGGTAGATGCCGATTCCTCAGTGGTTGATGGGGGAGTAGTGTCCAAATCTATATAGAAGTCGTCTGCACTTATGCACAGATCCTTCTGATTCGTATTGCAGTCCACAATACATGGAACAGAAGTTTTTGATTTCTCCACACTACAAACGTAGCCCTGAGCACAACTACGTTCGTTCGTACTGGGTGCTCCGCCAGTACACTTGGCATATGTGGTTTTCGAAGTGCAAGCAAATACGGAGTCATCCGTACAGTCATTACATTGGGAGGTAGTGGCACAACCCAGTTGCATATTGCTATTGTCCTGCTCACATATCGTGCCAAAGGGAGTACAAATAGCACCATTTGGGCAAAGATATATCACGCTTTCGTCTCGCACACCTGCGCTTAGAGGAAGTTACGTAACATCAAGTTTTTCGTCTTGTGATATTATTGTAAGGATTTACCTCCAAAACAAATCTGAAAGTGGTTAGGAGAGACGCAAGCGTGCGATCCAAAACATTGACCGCAGTTCGCATTTACATCAACGGGCAACAAAATATTGGCCATCAAAGCGAGCAACAAGCTACAGATCCGCATTTTGACAAGTATATCCTATATAGTTCAACCTTACACTAAACTCATTAAGGCATGGCGCCGCCTTATAAGCACTTTTTCCCTGTGGGAATCGTTTTATCTGCAGAGATATGCCGTAGTACAGGCCATTGGCCATTATCTCTCAATGCCAATGTATGTGTCTGAATGTATTCTATAACTTTTTTTTTTTTAATATTTGCAAATCAGCCAAGTTCTTGCGAAAATATGTAATTTGAGACTTCCTCACAGTAGCCGCAATCTTTGACCCTGAGCGCAAATCTCTTCATAAAGATTTGGCAAGCATACGAGTATAAAAACATTCCCCTTATCGCTAATTTAGTTGTTTTTTTGCCAGCTACGAAGTGGGCCTATAAAAGCTGTGCAAATTTTTTTGCAGCTCCCCAGTTGGTAATACTTTTCAGCGAATCGTCGGCATCTTACATAACTAGACATTTTTAGTGAAATTCCATATCTTGTGGCTTCCTCAGTGGTGGTTGAGAGAGTTCGACATCAAAATCATCTCCACAGATCTCTCTGGTTAGTATGGCAGTCCACAGCACAAGGACTGCCAGCAAAGCCTTTTTGAGTATTACACTCCTGATTTACCCCACAACGACCTATATTGGCATTTGGGGCGCCAATCAAGTCCTGGAGGTGCAGGCAAACAAGGCGTTATTCTCACACTTCCCACTTCCTGGCACCACTTTGCAGGCGTCGCACTCACATATGGATCCGTAGAGTGTTCGAATTTGGTTATTTGGGCAAGTATAGCTAACGGAACTGTTAGTACTAGCACCTACAGAGATGATTCTGGTGAGCCTTTTTTTAATGCTTATGATATAGTTTTGCCTCCATAACAAATCTGAAAATGGTTGCGGGAAATAACCGCAGTTCGCATTCAGCCCAACAATTGGCAGCAGAATATTGACTGTAAATGCCAGCAGCAGTATAAAATTCCACATCTTGTTAGCCGTAACCTTCCACTGAACTCCCACTGTGCTTAGCCCTGCTTTTAAAGCGAAAGCTTTTATCTCCAGAGACGTCGCCTAATGCCAATGCCAATGTCCATATTTGCAAATTAGCAAAACTCTTCCTTAAAGTAGCTACAATCTACGACCCTGAACACAATTCTGCCTATAAAGATTTGGCAAATACATAAAAACCATGCCTCTTATCTCTGTTTCTTCCCAGATACCTTATAAAAGAAGTGCTCATTTTTTGAAACCGACTAGTCTAGCCTGATTTGTGCGTTTCGTCGGTGCGAGGTGATTGAAAATGGCTCACAGGGTTCTGGTGCGTATGACAATATACATATATAGTTAAATAGGGTATTCACGGCCGGTGATTGAGCTGGTTCAATCTTTGGGATCACACTTTTTGCAAAAGAAAGTGCGCAGCTTTCGTTGAGAGTTAGCCAGAAATAGAGTCTCTCTAGTTGGCAACTGTATTTTAAGCGATTAACTGTAAACAAGGATCTTTGCCCAGCTGAAAACTTTTATTAAACATCTTAGCCAATTAACCCGTCAACCATACGAATTCTCCTTTCTATCTCCATTTGAAGATCGTCTTGGTGGCCAGCACATGCTTGCTGGCCCAAACGCTGGCTATTTGCGATGTCTGCCAGACGGATGAGGGGACGAGGGTCGACTACGCCTGCGTGAGTAGGACGGCCTATAAATACTGCTCATCGAATGGTCAAGGACTGGTGGTCGATGATGATAGCATAGAGTCGTGCGAGCCGGGTGAGGTCTGCAGTGATGGCCATTGGTGTAGACCGGAAGGTGAAGCTGAAGCCGGTTGTGATCGCACGGAAACGGTACCAACGTGTCCACAATGCTCGGACTCGGTTACTTTCGTCTGCACCAGTCGTACTACCTTCCAAAAGTGCAACGGCATCGACATTGACGAGCAAGTCTATAACTGTCCAGCCAATAAGGTCTGCGACATGGCATCGGGCAAATTCTGCATTGATATGTGCGGTCAAGTCGGCGCTCTAGAGTGCAATATTCCCGCACCCACTACATAAGTCTTAAGACTAATTTCATTTAACATTGACCCACTTGTAACTGTTTAGTTTTATAAGCCATGCTGTAATCTAATTATGGCCATCCATTGGTGACGATGACGTGAATTATTTTTGATAAATCCACTTGTATTTCAATTATGTTGCCATACGTTTGGCTTTATAAATAATAATAAAGATAATAGTAACAAATTGTGCTGCACTTTCATGCTCGAATTTACGCCTTACTCAACATTTAATGGCCGCGAAAGTGAGGAAAAACAAATTCGCAACAGGAAACAAATGACAACAAGTTGACGAAATGTGGAATGTCGCTGTTTTGTGTATCGGCCTATGCTACATTTATACATTTACGAGGGTAGTCTCAGAAGTGTTGCACTGGTATTTGTATTTAAAAATAAATACTTAATGAACTTAATGTTTAAAGGCTGCTAATCGTACGTTGCTTTGTATTTGTTTCCCCAGCTAATGGTCTTCAGTTAATATCTAGATTTCAATGAATATTATCGTTTTATATACCCCAGCATAACACTGGGCGAGTCCAAATCACTAAAATATTAGTTGGGTTCCGAAGAGGACATATCAACTGCCCAAAAGAACATTGTAATGTTGAACTAATGCACAGTAAAGGAATTACAAAAAGTTCTATATTAGAGGAACGTCGACCGGAAAAGTAAATGATATTTTGAAAATGATAAAAAAAGTGTGAAGCAGGTTCCTATCCAGTGTTTGGAGAAGTTTGCACCAATTCATTACTATAGATAAAATTACAATTGAAGCAATCACCTGTTAGAGATATGACAACTATAAGAAAGCGAACAACTAGAGAACAGGCAACATATTCATTGACCAGATGGTCTGACAATACCCAAATTTACCCAAAATGTAGAGTCAAAGTTTGAATTGCTTCCTCAATCGACATATTCGCCAACAGCTATTTCCTGTGCCATATATTTGCCAATAATTATGAGATGATGGCTGATGATTATTTTAAAAAATAGAAGAAAATAGAGATAATTATATCGATGAAACATATATATGTGTGATCTTTCCTTAATGGATTTGTTGGTGGGGTAAAGTACTTTCTCTAAACGTAATTATGAGATCATGGTTGATGATTCTTTTGAAAAATGGAAGAAAATAGAGATAATTATATCGATGAAACATATATATGTGTGATCTTTCCTTAATGGATTTGTTGGTTGGGTAAACTACTTTCTCTAAACGTAATTATCAGATCATGGTTGATGATTCTTTTTAAAAATGGAAGAAAATAGGGATAATTATATCGATGAAACTTATATATGTGTGATCTTTCCTTAATGGATTTCTTGGTGGGGTAAAGTACTTTCTCTAAACCTAATTATGAGATGATGGCTGATGAATATTTTTAAAAATGGAAGAAAATAGGGATAATTATATCGATGAAACATATATGTGTGATCTTTCCTTAATGGATTTGTTGGTGGGGTAAAGTACTTTCTGCAAGCCTAGCGCCTGTGAGAACGCTGTGATATAGTTCTGATAAATTTTGATGATGATTAAAATCTCGTATTTTCTAATGTTCTGTTTCAATCTGTATCCGAAAATCTACAGTTCGTTAGAAAAAAAGACATGGCTTTCTCATGCCAAAAAGATTTTAGAAAAGAACGCAACTAAAACTGAAAACTCTTTTAGAATAAAATAGACTTAGAGTACATTTAACTAAAATGGGACGCGGTAAGTACGAGAATTAATAGGTTTACAAAACTTGTTGGTATCTTCTATGTGTGGTCGTACACTCTTGGGACTGCCCTCTTTTAAAGCGGCAAGTGGTGCCACTAGGCGTGCAGGCGTTGATTGTGGCGCATCTAATTATGATGGTTGTTGGCACCGTGTTGCGCTTCATGCGCTTTGTTGTTGTAATTAATATTTTGCTAAATTCTGTTTTTAACTAAAAGCGCAGAGCGTCAACAAATTGTGCGCCACATATACTATATTAACGGTCATTAAACTTTTTTCGAGCAGCATAAATTGTCGCAATTGTCGCGGCTGCCTGCCATAACATAGCGAGGTCGCGTCACGTGCGGTTGTTTATACGTATAGTGGTGGCGAAGAAAACTGTGAAAACTGTGAAAATTGTGGAAAATAGTGAAAAGTGTTGTCTCAATGGCGATGTCGAATTTAAAAAGGACGCATTGGATGCGCTCTGTGGTCGTGTTTTTATGTGCATTATCGTTGGTCTCGGGCAAGGTGCGAACTTCCTCGTACTCAAATAGTTGGCGCGATCTGCTTTTTGGCAGCAAGTGGCTGTCGGTGGCGCCACGCGAGTCCAGGTGTAGGTGTGCTGCGGAAGATCCCAGAGGATCTCAGCCTCTGGTATTTCGTGACTTCTAACCTATCGCTCTATTTCTTGCATAGTTCTGCCCATTTTTACGGTGGTGCCTGTGGGTGCGAGTGGCTGTGCAGCACCCTCTGGCGAGCAGGGCAACTGCATGCCCAGCAAGGATTGCCTGCTCCGTAGTGGCATACCAGGAGGCCCTTGTGGCGGTGGTGGTTATGGCGTCTGTTGCATTTGTATGTTCAGGTTATGGATGCCTCACTTCTATATAGAGACTTTAGTACAATCTTCACTTTGTAGTTCTGCAGACCTGTGGGGGAATTATACGTGAGAACTCCACCTACTTTGTGAATCCCAATCATCCGGATGTGTACGATGGCACGGGCAGTTGTCAGGTGACTGTGCAGAAGCTACATCCGGATATTTGTCAATTGCGTTTGGATCTGGATATGTTCTCTATAGCACCGCCAGATCCAGCCAATCATTTGTGCAATCAGGATCAGCTCTTGGTCTCTGGAGGCAGTCCCACGCCTACCATATGCGGCAGCTCGACGGGCGACCACAGTAGGTGCTGCAAATTGGCGCTAATGTGCAAAATATTATACCAATTCCATTCTTCAAATAGTGTACGTGGATGCGGGCCTAGGACAAAGCAATCCCATTGTGCTCTCAGTGATAACCAGTGGCACCTTTCCACGTCTGTGGCGCGTACGTGTGACGCAGATACATTGTGGCAGCATCAGTCGCGCCGATCAGGGCTGCCTGCAGTATTACACGGCCATTAGTGGACGCGTCCGCAGCTTCAACTTCAATTCGGTGAGCGGACGGCAGTTATCCAACCAGGACTATAGCATATGCATTCGCAATGAGCGCAACTTCTGCGGCATTCAGTACAATGCCTGTGCGGATATGGAGAATAATCGTTCGAGATCCTTTACCATTTCGGGAAATTCGAATAATCCTGTGGGCACGATGGTCGGAGGGGGTGGAGGTAGCTTTGCATCCAGTCCGAATGCCTGCACCAATGATTGGCTGATGATGGGCTGCATACGTTCAGCGGATCGCATACCGCCATTGCCGGGCTGTGAGGATCGCGTGTGTGGCGGCACTTTTAGCGCCGAGGCGGGCATGTTGGCCAAAACAGTGCAGTGTAAGTTGAACAAAGGGCCACCCAAGTATTTTAATTAAACCAATTTATTTTGCTGGCAGCGAGCGTAAGACCCTTCCGTCTATATTTTCACACCGATGGCGTGGAGGCGCCCAATGATATTGATAATCGCGGTTTTTGTTTGGATTATGTGCAGCAGCCATGCACGAATGGGTTTTAATAGAAGCGGCCTAAAAGTATGCTACAGCTTTTAGGAGAGCTAAAAACGCGCAGAAAGCGGTAAGAAAACGCGCCGAAAGCGCATGAAAATAAGAATTACGCGCGCTTTAATAAATATGTATGGTATTTTTATTTATTTGTAGTTAATTTATGCCTAATTTACATAATTTAAGTGTAGGTATACTTTATAATATAGGATCCATAATTTATAATATGAAATAAAAACGCAGAAGGTGTCGTCAAAATTTGGTACAAAATATAAGGAAGGAAATTGAAATTCTAACAGCACTTACACATAAGTTTTTAAAATCGTTTCACTATTATGTAATACAGTTTTTGTTTTAAGCACTACTTTAAGGACATATGTACTACAATTCTAATTTATATAAACATTTTCATATTTCTGTTTGTTTAGCACTTAGCGCAAGTGCTTAAGGAAAACAAATTATCATAATAATAATATAATAATAATAATTGAGTAAAAATAGTAACACAAATAAAAAATATTGGGTAAGGACTTTTCGTTGTTGTCGCCAAACTGCGCACTGTGGTGGTATATATATATGTATATGCGTGTGTCTGTATTTAAAATAATTGGTAACTGCTGTCATCGTGAGATCGCCAAATTCAGTCTGTGCGCTATTGTTGTTGCTGTTGGCCGACTTGTGACGTCACTGGTGTGCTTGTGAGGGAAAATTCGAACACTACACTACTAATAGGTTTGTATTAGGGCAGCTACGTGCTGTTTCTCCTCATCCGTTAAACCGTTCTTCAGGGTGCGACGCACTGCAATATCGAAAATCGAAAAATGAATAATCGCTGTTGGATAACCAACTTCTTTATTAGTTATCGAGGCATTATAGATGCAAGTTCATGCGTTTTTAGTGGCGCGTAAGTCTTTGTTGGTTTTGGAAAAGTTTGTTATGCTCATGCAGATGTAACCAAATTTTTTAACCAAAAACTCGTACCGTGGAGCGCAAATGGCAAATACAAGACCAAAGAGAAACAAAAACTTTTAACAAATTACAAAAATTTAACAAATAAAGCGTCAATGCAGCCAGAAATCTTATACTGGGCCTGCAATTGAGCGCAAAATCAATTCAAAAACAAAAAAGTAAGCAACGGAAAGAAACACTAACCAAAGGAGTAAAACCTAAAAACAGCTCGCAGTTGCTTTAATGGTTTCGTTATCGGTATCGGTATCGCTATCGGTTTCTATGGTGATGGAGCTCTTTCAACTGTGAATCCTTCACGCGTGCGGGAGCGCTTCACTTCAATATGCAAACGATTTTATACGTATTGTTTGATTTATAGTTTTGATTGATGGGTGCAATATGAGTAAATTAAATTGATGGTAGGGAAATTAAAATAAAAACCCAATAAAATAGGCAACAAATTAAGGGCAAAGCAACAATTTAAATAAAAAATATACAAAAGCTTTAAGGGATAGGCATAAAAGTACTATAGAGCTCTAAAAAGGGCACACTTATTGACTAGTAAATAGCGCTAGCGCACAAACAGAAAATGTTTGCTTAGCTTTAAAGCTTAAATTTAGAATTTAGTGTAAACTTGTAGCCATGAAAATGCTTTTTCTTTTTTAAATTTAATTTATCATTTCGAACGTTTTCAGTTGGCCGCGAATGTGCGTGGGGTGTGTGTGTGTTTCTTGTAGACTGCCTAATAATAATAAACATAGCGCGCTGTTTTCCAATAAAAAAAATAAAACAAAACACCAACACCTTTATTAAAGTACTCTTGAAATTATAGCTGATATAAAGAGGGGATGAAAGACACTAAAAAACATTTGAGGCGGGGATAGGGTGGGGGAGAATTCAACTTACAGGATTTGCGATCCGCATGACGCGTACGTTTGCGTTCGCGGGGCGTGGTGCGGGTGCCTGGGGCCTTAGTGGCAGTTTTGACCAGAGACTCCAGTATTTCATCATCTCCGTCGGTAAACTGCTCCTCACTTTGGCGCGAAATGGGCGAGCGTAGCTGCTCGGCGCGACGACGGCGCCAAGTCAGCGTACCATCGGCCGTATCCGTGCTAGGCGTACCCAGAAGTTGTCTGTGAAAAAATGCACCAACTTATAAAATAATTTCACAATTGAAGTAATAAATCACATACTTGAGTTCCTCATCGGCGCGATCCTCTTTGGTTTTGAACTTGACCATGTCGATGATCAGTTTGCCGCGCGTCTTGTTCCGCTCCCGATGGTTGGCCTTCTTCTCCAGCTGCTGCTGCACGCGCTCGCGCGTGGTGCGATACTCGAGCGCGAACTCGGAGAGGGTGCGGCAGAACTCGTTGGGTCGCGATTCGGCGACACTGTGCTGGGGCATGCCCAGCCAAAGCAGAAACTTGCGATAGCGATTCATGACGCGTCGATGCACAATCTGCAATATGATAATACGTTCGGCGCAATCGGCCAAAAAGTCCACTAGCTTTTGCTTTAGCGGCGGCGCACAGTCGTGCTTGGCAATGAGCTTGAGGCGATCCCACGAGGCCTTGCACTCGGACTCCAGTTGGGTCAGATTGTGTGCCAAGTCCGTAAAGTCTGCCTTGGAGGCGCGTGTGATGGGTCCGATTTCGGAATATAGATCGCTGGTCTCGCTGCATGACTCCATCACCATGTGACAGAGATGGTGCAGCAGCGAGTGCTTGTGCACCGTGTCCTTTACCTCAGGCACCTTGGCCAAATACTCGATCTGGAAGCCCTTCACGGGCGCCCCATTCAGGAAGATGCCCACGGACAGCAGAGTCGAGAGTATACAGCGGAAGGTGCGATTGTGGCGCAGAATCTCAATGCCCTGCTTTAGATCCATCAGCGGCTCTGCAATTTCTTTCTGCAATCGAAACCATCAGTCACTAACTGACAGAATTTATAATCCTTTCAATCACTCACCTCGCTGTTGTCAAAGTCCAGGCGGAAGGCCCACAGCTTCAAACGCGCTCCCAACTCGGAGATGGAGGCGAGTGTGAGCAGAAATTGTTCGGCACTGCCAAGCGGCAGGTCTGGATTGGACATTTGTGCCTCCTGTATCTTGCCGCGCTCCTCATCTGTGGGCAGCATGTTCAGCAACTTGTCAATGCCTTCGCGTGTCACCACCGTCGCATCCATTTTGAGAATAGCCGCCTTGATGGCGCGCGGAGGCGGCAACTTGGTCATGGCAATGTTAATGGCATTGGAACGCTTATGATCCAGCACGATTACCTCTTTGCTTTTGTTCAACTCTTGTTGTTTCTGTAATGTGTGCACCCAGGGCGTATGAGTAATGCGTTGAATATTAGGTGAATGCAGAATTGAAACATTGAAACAGGGACCAGAAATAATTAAGAGTTTCATTTTCAAAAGCAAAACAAGCAATACAGTGTAGAAAACTTAATAATGTGTGTAAATATTACCACCCTTTTTCTATAAAAATGCAAATGCAATAATTAATTATCATTTAAAATATAGGTATCGTCGATTCCTTCTATAAAAAATGCTGCTTTCTTTACTTTCAAATTAATTTAGTTGTTTATGGCTTTACATTGACGATTTAATTGAGTTTATATATTAGGCCGAACTCCTCTATTCAAGCTATGATAAGTTGAATCTAACAAACGCTTTAAGCCTGCCGTATTGAACATGTTACCCTGGAGATTCCTCAATCGAAGGGATGAAAAAATATTCCAAATAAGTATCTTTCGGAATATTCTTTTCTCTTTTTCCATTCAGGAAACCCTAAGAGTAATTAATGAAACTATTGAAGGCTGGAAACTTTTAATTGTATTTCATATCTCGAAACTTGTGTTTCACTTTCATTTCGATTCTCTATTATTGTAAATTGATTAAATTTCTCCTACTTGGGCTTTCATAGCTTATAAGGCTTTTCTTATGTCGGCAGTCAATGTTCGTTGACATAAAAATATATTAAAATAATAATAAAATAATATAAAAATGTTCGTTCCTTTCAAATATTATTTTAGTCTTTAAGCCTAATATTGGTAAAAGGAACTACAACATTTGTATTTTGAATAATCAAAAGTTTTCACAGTATTTCTGGCAAAAAAGGCCATGAAATGTAATTTGTAATTCAGAAATTATTTTTGGTCCTCAATTGGAAATGTGCAAAAAAAAAACGAGTTTACAAAATAAATATACAAGTAGAACATGAAAATGATGTGCGAGTGTGTGTTGTTTGTACGTGTTGGGGAAAAGTAGGGAGATAAAGACAGAATTCCCCGGAATTGGGCAAACAGATGTTAGGAACAAACAAAAAACACACTACTCCCAACTCGAAACTCCCAAGAAATGTTACCCTCCAGCCTTTAGAGTTAGGGCAAGTGCGTGTTTGTGTAAAAGTACTTTATAGTCTGTGTGTGTGTGTTTAAACATAAAAGTGGATTAACAATTAGCCGACACCAAACGACAAACTAAACGAAAACAAATCGAAACAGAGAGAGATAACAAATTTATTGCACTCACCTCCTGAGTTTGGCAAACATATGAAACAGATTTTTGTTGTTTAATATTTGAGGTATTTTTTTGTTTTTTTTTGTTTTGTTTTGGTTTTTATGTTTTAGCACAACATTTAGGTAGATATATATCCGCAAACAAGCCGTTGACATTTATCAAATTTTAGATATCAAAAAATAAATGGGAAGAGAATACAAAAATCATTCGCAAATGTTATGCAACATTGGACACATAAGGAAAGAATATCCAGATATTTCATTTCTTTACTCATTATTATTGACACATATATAGCTAACAAATTAATTTGTTTAAGAAACCGTTGGCCAATTCAATTTGATTAATGAATCACAAAATGTATTACGTATACGCACCTTGGTCATCAAGTCTTTGGCGCGTGACTCAAAGAGATGTTCGAGCTTCTGTGTGTCCACATTGGCGCTCGGCAGCTCATCCCAAATGGTCTTTCCCACCGCAACGGGTATCATGTCCTCGCGCACTTCCTTCCAGAAGAGCTTGACCTGCAGTTCGAGTTGTATTTAGTTTATCGAATTATGAATGAAAATGAATGTTTCCTGCGCACCGTTTTCTTATTCTTCTTGATCGTGTTGTTGCCATTGCCCAGCTCTCCATTGAAGGAGCCATTCATCGAACTGTTGACACTGTTTGTCAGACTTCCGGCACCATAGTTGCTGTAACTAAACATAGGCGGTGGCACCAGACTGGCGTTCAGCATGGGTGGCGGCATCATCGGCGGCGGCGCAATGCTGCCTAGGGGTGGAGGTGGTGGTGGTATGCCTACACTCAGGCCCCGCGGCGCCAGCACATCTTTCTCATCATCCGAATGCAGATCCGTAAAGTCCAGATCACACAGATTTAGCGGCCGTGTCATGTTACGCACCAATTCCTCCCAGTGTAGTTCATTTTCTGATTTCTTCGGCTCCGACTTTTTCAGTTCCTGATCAACGCTCGACGAGCTGAAAAATTTAAAAATAATGAAAATAAGTTTGAAAATTTTTTTTAATTAATGGTTGTTTTGTAGATTTGTAGTTCCTCTGCACGTCTGTCTAAAACTGGAAAATTTACACATTTTTTTAACCTCAACAAACATTCTCTGTAAACACATCTGCTCATTATCGCCCTTTTCCTGTTCTTTTCTTCGAGTGTAATTTTAGTAACTTTATGAGGTCAACAAGTACAATCCGCTTGTAAATATTAAAAAAAGATATGATTTTCTCTTTATTTTTTTTATTTATTTCAGTTATAGAGTACTTCGAAGTCGGCTGCGCTCGACCCTTACCCATCTATTCTTTTCCCATATCTTATTAGTCCAATTAATGTTGCACCCTGCAGTGCCATAAAGCTATAGTTGTCGATATCGACCAAATCCTTATCAATCGGTAAGCGTTCTTCACACTGCACATGGCAGCAAGATAAGCGGAGGCGGCAAAATCCAAAGTAGTGGGCTAGGGGCTGCATGTTACGGATATGAGCAATATAAAGTATGCGCTTGTTCTAGTCAACAAATGAGGAAATTCAAAAGATGTGCTGGACTCCAATCCACTTAAATCAAAAACATAATGATGCTAGAATAAATCTGTATACATATCCTCGAATAGCATATTGATCGTTACTTCAAACATTTTGAATAGAAAACGTAATCCACGCTAACCTTTAGCTGATTTTATTAAACTTATAAACATCTATAGCAGTTCCCACACGACCACTTAAGTATGCCATTGAAAGCCATTGTTTGTGGACTCTTATCATTAACACTTGGGCATTGATTAGATTTAGTTATATTTTCTTTGAGTAGCTGAGCTATAAAAGACTTGCATTGTGCTTCGCAAATGCATTGTCTTTTAAAGTATAGGCCAGATAGAGATGGATGTGAGTTAATCAGTAATTAAATGCAATAAATAATTTGAAATGTACTCCTTAGTTCGAAACAGCGTGTGTTAATTGCAAGGCATTCACAAAGCAGCCCCCAAATGAGGTCTACTTGGACTTCTATGGGCTCTACAAGCAAGTCACTGTGGGGGATGTGAACATTAATAGGCCCGGTCTCTTGGACTTGACTGGCAGGGCTAAGTACGATGCATGGCTCAGTCGGAAGGGTATGTCTGAGGCAGCGGCGAAGGCCGCATATGTGGCGCTATATGAAAAGTATTCCCCTATCTATGCCTAGACTAATGTATCTATATTTTGTGCATGTGTAATAAAAGAGTGAGTAAAAGAAAGTCTTTCAACTTCAAAGGCCTGGCAGCTATTACCACATCGAGGGTTCACCTTTGATACTCTCTGCTGATAAATGTTTTGCAACAATTAAAGTCAAATTTTATTTGCCGTCCATTTGGGCCGCATGACTAAACTAAACGAAAGCATAATCTATTAGCTTATCAAATGGCATTGCAAGAAAGTAGTCGGGCGAACATTGATATCTAGGTAATGGACTCATAAATCGATATCAGTAGCTGGCCCATACTTGGCTATAAAAGCCACACAACTTTCCAAAGTCGGACATTCATCAGCAACCACCGGCAAGACTAAAACATGGATGTAAGTATTCCGAACGGACTAACGGAAGTATTACAACAAATCCACATCATCCACCTTCTATTTTCTGCAGTTCAACACCGCCGCCCAGAAAGCCAAGAGCTTCTCCAAGACCCCCACCAACGACGAATTCTTGGAATTCTACGGCCTGTACAAGCAAGCCACCGTTGGAGACAACAACACAGCCGAGCCCGGTGCATTGGATCTGAAGGGCAAGGCCAAGTGGAGTGCATGGAACAAGCACAAGGGCCTGTCCCAGGATGCCGCCAAGGCAGCCTACATTGCAACCTATGAGAAATATGCTCCCAAATACGCCTAAGCCGGATAAGCTCTGTGAACTCGTTGCTGGTTAAAACGTTATCAATAAATGATCTAGAATATTCAAATGGAAACACAATTGTGTCTTTAATTGCAGACCATTATCTTTCAATTTAATTCCAAACTGTTGTGCACTATAATATCGGAAATCAATGATTCAGTTAGTTCTCAATTATGTTGCATAGGAATAGGAAGCCCGGAAGAAATCGATATTAAAGGAAATAATTTAGAATTCATAAAATATAAAACTCAAAGATCATTTAAATTCCTACGAATTTTTAGGTATTCGGATGAAGATTGTTTCTACAACCACGTCTATTGATGGGTGCATAATGTTCTAGTAGGGATATTATTTGATATTATTATACGAACGAAATACGAAAATGAATGATAAATAAATCGAAGAATGTGGGTTCTTAGAACTCCGCAATTTTTAAAAAGTTGTGGCGCAGTAGCCAGTTTTATTTTAAAAAATGGAATTATGTTTAAAATGCTATTTGACTTCTCGAAATCATCATTAAATCATTTCTAAAAATTTTATTAATTTTTAGGGATGACGAACGTTTGGTGCAGTAGCCTGAATGGGTCAGAAAATTATAAAAAAAAAAAAACAAACGTAATCGCATTTCGATGACCATAAGTAGTCAAACAGCACAGCTGAGTCCAGAATAAAAAAGATTAAAAAATGAACAGTTAAATAAACTGAACAATTGGAAAGCGTTCAACCCCTATTATTACTATATCTAAATGATAGCCAACAATTGATAGTTAGAAAGAAATCATAGTTGACTCGAAATTTAAACGTAATTCTGATCGAAAAGAAGAAAAAATTCTGATCCTTCTACATTCTTTGGCTCTTCTTTTTGCTGCTAACTGGCGCCGTAGTTATGTTCAGGCAGATGGGGAAAGGCGATAAATAAAAATATAATAATAGCTGGTCATATATAAATTATGCTCACGAACGATCAATCCAGCTGGGTCTAAAAATCTATATTTTTTTCACTTACCGTGATATTTCACCCTTGCTCTTGCTCTTGGCAAGTCCCTCTTTGGCTTTCGATATGAGGCCGGACATATCCCCGACTAATGGACGACTCTGCGACTCCTGTGTGGGACTGGTGGGTAAATTGCTGAGCCGCTGCGTTAAGTCCTTCACCGTGTGGTCGCGCTTGAGTTGCAGCAACATTTGTTTGTCCTCGCTGTCTAGATCTGTGAACCAATAATTCTGCTTTAGCATACTGAGAATAATTCAGTTGGTAGTTTTTAGAAAATCGCCCTTCGGTTCAAACAAGCTGGTATTATTGGGGAATATTTGTTTGTAAACTATAATTTAAAGTTTTAAAAATATTTTTTTTCAACCCTGGTAGCTGTCAAAGTGACTAGTCGACTTTTTATTGTGCGCTCCGTGAAAAATTGTAATAAATTCCTCTTTTTCAATTATTTCGCGTATAGTGCGTTAAAAAAAAACCACCCGGAAACCTAGTTTCACCTTGGCTTTTTGGCAATCGTTTAGTATCCTTATTTTCTTGGATTCCAATCAACAATTAATCTGCTGTATGGGGCTGCTCTGCTGACGTATACACGTCATCGGAGCAGAGACAGCCCAGAATTTTTCTTCTTTGCTTGTTTTGCAAGTCATCTTATCTCACGTAAATGAATGCTGATGAAGACTCGGCCGCTCTCGGAGCAGCTGAGGAAGTAGTCAATAAGCTGCCGAAGTACGTGGAGATGAGAAAAATTTCTGGTAAATCACCTTCGGAGCTGAGAGCAAAAATAACCAAGGACTTGCATATGTCAATGGGAAAACCATACTTAAAGCCGTCAATCTCAACCAGTAACTGGATTGCCTCAACCACTTGTACATCGACTACAAGTACCCTAACATTTTCTGTGGTGAACTCTCAATCAATGTATACTACAGTAGCGACATCAAATGGCAGTTTGTGCTCCACACCCGCCGTTGTGAGTACACCGGCTTCAATCACAAACTTAGTTGCAAATCCAACTCTGGACAAATTTTGCTCGTTTCAAATGCCAGTACCCGGTATTAATAGGAAGCGGAAAGGAGCCGTCGAGTCACTAAAATCGGCTCAAAAAAATAAGCCAACTCCTGTCAATACAACCCAGGGACAACGAACTGCGTCCTCCTCTCCGCCAGCGCTTCAAAATAATAGATTTGCAGCCCTTTCGGAAGAAGCTGATTCCATTATGGAAATGGAAGAGCCAGATTCCGAAGATCCATCGAGCCAGCAAAATGAAGCCAGCCGTTTCCAGCAGGGAAGTAGTATTCCTAAGCCTCCTGCTATATGTGTGCCACAAGTCAACAAGTTGGATAAGCTGGAGGTGGCGCTCAATTCTGCTGTCTCCCCTAACGATTACGACATACGCACATCGAAATCTGGGATCTCGCGTATTTATACGAAGAATTCGAATGCGTTTCGTGCAATAATCAAATTATTGTCCAATCAAAATTGTCAATTCTGGCACCACCAGTTGAAGGAGAACAAACCCTGCAGATTGGTGCTCAGAGATATTCATCCCAATGTACCCAGGCAATTAATAGAGCGCACCTTTACCGACAAGGGCTTTACAGTTTTGAATATATATTGCCCCAGAAAACCGGACTGGCGTAACATTCAAATTAATGAGGAGGATGGTGAGGACATAAATAATGTTAAAACAAGACAAAATATGTTTTACGTTAACCTCCAGAACGCCCATCCTAGTGGCACCGCTAAAAGTGGTTCTGCAGTCATCATTAGATCAAGTATCGCTCATTCACAGAATGAGCCAATTCTAAAAACAAGCATCCAAGCGGCCAGCGTAACTATACCGACGAATGGTGGAAGCATCAAAGTCTCCTCCCTATATCTTCCTCCCAATGAAGCTTGGTGCAGGGCCGACTTTGATCTATTGCTTGCAACCTTAGGAGATAAGTTTATTGTAGGCGGTGATTTTAATGCAAAACACCAATGGTGGGGTAATTCCAGATCTTGCAGGCGAGGAAGGTGTTTGCAAGAGGCCATAGCTAGTACTACTTGCCAAGTTCTTGCTACTGGAGAGCCAACTTTCTACTCTTACAACACACGGCTTAACCCCTCTGCACTAGACTTCTTTATTGTCAACAGGATTGCCCTAAACAGACTCACCGTTGAAACAAAATATGAGCTCGCATCGGATCACCTTCCAGTAGTAGCGACGCTACATCATGCACCGCAATATAATCCCAAGAGGGAATATATTCTACCACCTGGCTCCCGTATTGATGTTTTTAAAGCCGATCTCGAAAGAAGAATTAACCTGAACGTCGAAATTAACAGCCCAGAGGATATCGAAGACGCGATATCAATCCTCATGAAGAACATTTCACTGGCTGCGTCTTCTGCTGCACCGAAAACTTTACGCTTGCCAACCCAACATAGTCAAGCTAGTCTACCACCAACGGCTGCTGCGCTCTTAAGCCTGAAAAGAAGAGTCAGGAAAGAATATGCAAGAACTGGAGATACTCGCATTCATCAAATCTACAAAAGACTGTCCAATCGACTGCAAAAAGAGCTTGCTAAAATCAGACAAGGCAGAATTGATGACATATTGGAAAGTGCTGGTCCAGATGCATCATTTAATTACTCGCTCTGGATGCTTACGAGGCGATTTAAGAGGCTGGTCATCCCTAAGACTCCAATTAAGGATCCTACAGGTGGATGGAGCTACTCCAGTCAGCAGAAAGCTGAAATCTTTGCAAACAGCCTAGAGGAAAGATTTAAGCCTTTTGACTTTACAACAGCAGATAGGCGAAGGGTAGTCGAGCTTAGGCTGGAGATGCCATTCCAAATGGCCTTGCCTGCAAGCCCAGTTACACTTCAAGAAGTGGTACAGCAGATAAAAAATCTAAAGGTAAAAAAAGCGCCTGGAGAAGACCTTTTAGACAACAGGACGCTGAAACTGCTCCCCACAAGGGCTCTGCTGTATATTGTCTTGCTCATGAATAACATACTCAGGCTGAGGCACTTTCCAAACTGCTGGAAAATGGCGCTAATTACGATGATTCCAAAGCCAGAGAAACAGCATACTGAAGTAGATGGATATAGGCCGATTAGTCTGCTACCTGCCCTCGGGAAGATGATGGAACGCGTGATTCTGGACCGGATTCTCCAGCTCGAAGCCGTGACGCGCAGAATTCCAAAATGGCAATTTGGTTTTCGAAGAAGTCACGGAACACCGGAACAGCTCCACCGTGTGGTCAACTTCGCCCTGGAAGCCATGGAGCAAAAGATGTACTCAGTGGCTGTGTTTATGGATATTAAACAAGCTTTTGATAGAGTGTGGCATGATGGTCTCCTCTGCAAATTGAAAGGCATGCTAACTCCTCAATTGTTTCAACTCATCGAAAGTTTTCTAAGGGACAGAAGCTTCAGAGTTGCTGTTGATGGAGTGAAATCCACGAGGCGCTCAATTTGTGCAGGAGTGCCCCAAGGCAGTGTTCTCGGTCCTACCCTGTATACATTATTTACTGCTGATATGCCTGCACCGCAAGAGATCCTTGGAGTAGACGAGGATGACGCACTAATAGCTACTTACGCAGACGACACTGCGGTGCTTACCAGATGCAGAGATATCGATGTAGCTTCGGAAGCCTTACAGCAGTATGTAAGTAGTTTCGAGAAGTGGGCTCTGAATTGGAACATTGGTATCAACGCCAGCAAGTGTGCGAATGTCACATTTACAACAAGGCCGTCGTCATGCGGAGATATCACAATGTTGGGGTCCACGCTCAGTCATACAAATTCGCACAAATATCTTGGTGTAATTCTGGACAGAAGACTCAACTTCAGCAAGCATACAACAATGGTCAAGCGATCGGTCATGGCGAAAGCCGGAAAGATGGCATGGCTGCTTGCACCATGCAACAAGCTGTCCCTGCACAGTAAGGTGACAGTATATAAGTCCATATTAAGTCCAATATGGAAGTATGCGCTACCAATTTATGGCATTGCCGCTGCTTCAAACCTAAACAAAATAAGAGTTGCGCAAGCTAAAATACTCAGAAAAATATGCAACGCTCCCTGGTATATGCGCACTAGGGACATCGAAAGAGACTTATGTGTCCCCAAGGTTGGCGATGTCATTCAAATGCACGCAAGCAATTACGAGAAGCGACTCGGCAGTCACCCCAACGCACTAGCGAGGCGGCTCCTGTCCAAACCTAAGAAGAGAAGACTGAAGAAGTGCCATCCAAAGGATCTCCCCACAAGAGCCCTTGTATAAAATACATAGTATATATCATAAAATATAATCATTTTTCATGTAAAACACTGTAAATATTGTATATATGTACATAGATATAAGTGCGTCCTATAGATGCTTACTATAGACAACTTTTGTATTCCCTAACTTTCAACTAGCTTAAGCTGCCATATTGGTAGTAGAAAACTAGTTTAATAAATTGTACATATGTAAACATAAAAAAAAAAAAAAAAAAAAAAAAAAAAAAAATATTTTGTCTTACTCATGATATCAGAAACAAATATTCGTCTTGTAAAAATCACAAACTAAAAAGAATTCGATTTGCGAAGCACAAAAAAGCGCGTCAAACAGCATTAACTCTGACTTTTTTATGCGGGTCTTAGTTCATATAAGAATTCAGATGAGAAATTTGGGTTTTTGTTAACCGCGACCGAAGGCTATGAATCAAACAAGAAATAAGCACACATATGGTGTCGAGTCTGACTCTTGAATACCCTGTACTCGAAATGAAACTCTGATTGTTAAGGCATCCAAGGTCTCGGAATTCATAAACAAGTATATACAAGTATGTATACCTATAATGTAGACTCTGCATAATACCCTTTCATACTTCGATTCAGGGTATAGAAATAATAGCCTTTCAAGTGAATCAAACCTACGGCGAAGATCATCTCAAAATACTTTATGTTTTCTAGAATTCTAGAACAAAATGCACTTAGTCTATAAAAGAGAAAAATCGTTTTGAAAAGAAACTGTCTGAAAAGTAGGTTATTGTGTTTAATTATATTTGAAGGGCGATTTTATAAGTTTTGGAAGCTTGCGTGCACTTTTTTTTGGGGGGGATGACTGATGAGTTTGAAGTGTGCTGAGCACATGACTGCGGTGGCATGCAACATAAGCTTGGCTCAGGCTAAGAGGCTGTGTCTTGGCACCTACCTGCGGAAGGGGCAGCCTCAACAGCATTGGGCGCTGCAGTGGCTGGCTGTTGCAAGGCTAGGTTAGTAGATGGCTCGCTGGGTCTGTGGGTTAGTGGACTAGCGGGCGGCTGATGCTGCAGTTGTTGCACTGCTAGAGGAGGAGAGTGCCACCAGTGTAGTGGTGGTGGCGGTGGCGGCGGCGGCGGTGGTGGTGGAGTCGCAACCACAACATCTACTGTCTCTACTGTCTTTGCTTGCGGCTCACTCTTGAGTATCGGACTGGCTGGAGGCGAGGGCGTTTGTAGGTCGGCTGTTGACGTAAAATCGAAACCATTCAGCGCCTTCTTGGGGCTGAGGACGGCGGCCAATGGCTGGTGCTTTGGGGATTGATTCAATTGTGTGTAATAGTTGTTCAGACGATTGGCGTCGTTCTCGTATTTCTTGTATCCACTGTCCGTTTGCTGGATATTCTTCATAATGCCGTTGATCACAGTTGCGTTGCGTTCCCGAAACAGATTCTTTTTGGTGAGGAACTCATTGGCGGAATTGTTGTTGGCCTTGTCGAAGCTGTTGTTGATGATGGAGATGCTGTTGCTGCCGCTCAGTAGCTGCTTTGTGGGACTCAACAGCAAACTATTGTTGGGCGTATCCGGCATTGTCGTACTGTTGTTGTTGTTGCTGTTGTTGTTAGTCGCAGGGGCAGCTATGCTGTTGCAGTTGCTGTTGTTGTTGTTGCTGATGCTGCTGCTATGATCATGTTGCAATGATTGCGGCGGACTCTCGCCGCTTTGTATGGTGGCGGGTATGGCGGTAACAATTTGGCCTGCCAGCGCATAACATGTACAAAGCGCCAATAATGGTGATTGGAGGTGTTTGGTGACACATTTACGGTTATAAATGAACAGCAGGTGACAAGATTACAATAACAATAGATACACAGACACACGCATGATTAGCATGGAGGAGAGAGAATCGAATGACAATATAAAATTATTGTTAGTATTAGCAGCTAAAAGCCTCTTCGCAACAGCTTCAAAACAACCTACCTAGGCCGTCACGTTGCTCCAATGCGGCAAAAATGCCATTGGCTGCCGCCTCCTGTTGCTCCTTCAGGAAACTTTTGTGGCGTTCGGCACGTTCACGCCGTCTTCTGAGGCCGGGCGTCACGCCTGCGCCATCGCGTGCTGCAAGGATGGGGAGAAGCAGCTAAGTGAATGGCTCTTGCCCCTTCATTTAATATCTTGACTTACGCTTCTTCTCCTGAAACAGACCACTGCTGAATTCTGTGGAGTTTGTGGAGCCCGAGCTGTCCTCGTCTAGGGTGGCATGTGTGGGGGTCATGCGCAGTGGTGTGGGCAGCACTTTGGTCAGCGGAACTGGGCTGTTGTCGCTGCTATGGCGACGCGATTTGCGACGCTCTGTGGTGTTGCTGCCAGGACGGAATCGTTGTGTCTTGCGCACTGAATTCTCAGGCAAACGCTGGCCATCCGACTCGCCATCCTCAAATCTGTAAGGCATAAAAAATATGAATATAATACTTCAGAAAATAAGGGACGAAAAACTTAATTCACTTCTGATTGCATTTAATCAACTTTTTATTATTTTCATATTATTATTAGAATTATAAAAGAAATCAAGAACTTGGATTGAAATGAAATTTTTACATTATAATAATATTAAAATATTAATCTTGACATTTCGCTAAATATATGTACTTCAGTGAGGATTGAAAGTTAGGGACAAAAAACTTATTTCAAAGTTGATTGCATTTAATAAACTTGTTATTCTTTTAATATGGTAATTAAAATTACAAAAGAAAACTGTGTATATAAACTTTTGTAGACTTACTTCAAAACTGCCTCGTATAGCTGCAATTGATCCAGTAAGTCCAAATCAGTACCTTTCTTGGACATATAGCGCTGTATAACCATTTCCATGCCCTGTTGTTCGAGCAAGTCGCTCTCATCGTAAAAGCTATCCTGATCATTCAGGCCTGCTAGGGTTTTGTTAATCAACGATGTGGCGTATATGACCAGCTCGGCATCAGCATTGTCGTAATCCTTTAGCAGTCTATATTGAACAACGGGGAAAAGAGTAGATTAATATAAGTTTAAAATTTAGGAAAACATTTTTACGCTTATGATGACATTATACTAAATATTCAAATTATATCCTCAAGTCGGAAATAAATATGTAGTATCATTAAGAAAACAAACAACATAGATCGAAGATCATATTTCAAAAGAATTGCAATTGTTGCGTTTTAATGCGTAAACAGAACGAGAACACGAAAACATATCGCAGTGTATAAAAAACAGAAGTGAATTTAACACAGCTCCAAAAAGTATGCTACACTTTTTTGCCGCTCACCTCATAATGTGGGACCAGGGCAAGGTGCCTTGCGCTGCATCCACCGCATGTATGGCGCTCACCAACACATAACAATTAGACTCGGCGTATTCCACAAAGACCAACAGCAGCTTGAGCGCTGTCTTCACCACCGAGCGGTAATTTGAGGCAATCAGCGAGTAGAGCCACTGCATGGTGGGCTCATGCTTCATCACTCCATTCATGCCATCCACATAGAGCATGACCTGAGCGCACAAAGCAATCATTAGTTCGGGAATTGAGAGCAAACTTCCCGCAATACGTTACCTGTCCGAGGGCACGCAAAATGTAATTCTGATAGTTCTGATCCGCGCAATTGCCCACACGCACCAAGCAATTGAGGCCACCGAGTGCTACAAAGGCATGGACGAGATCCTTGTCCTCCTGGAACACCTGTTTGAGGGAGAAGAGTGCACGCCTCAGATCGCTTCCCTCGGACGAGAGTAGTTTTTCTGCACAATAGGACAATTATACGCAATTTGGGAATTCAGGTTGTGCTTATTGTTTATATATTTCCATGAAATATGCTTAACTCACCAATAATCGCATGAACGCGCACGCTCAGCTGCGTTCGCACCACCAACGAGTTTTTGCGACTGTGGAAGGAAGAAAGAATGGAAAAAAATTGAAATTAATGTAATTTCATTAGCAGTTACGCGCTAACAATAGGGCACATAAAAAAGTATGAAAGAAAACAAAACTAAGAGTAAAACACAATGGGCAGAGACTTTGACGCGGTTCAACGACCACTTAAGAACATTGATTACCCGCTTCATCCATAGGTACGCCGTTGCCATAATAAAAGTAATAACAAACGACGCAGATAATTGAAAATGGACTATGAAGCATGCAGCAGACATACTCGCACTCGTACTTGCCGCACCAATAAGCCAGGCAAAGAATTCATAATGAAATGTACGTCTGAGTGTGAGTTTGTGGCTCAAAGTGCAAGGCACACGACGCAGACAAATTCAAAGACACACACACACACACATACAGGTGTGGTGTGGTGCTTGCAGATTGACAAGCTAAGCGGCCAAGCGGCAAAGCACCGCACGTCGATGGTCGACCACCAACCATCACCCGAGAATTACAACCGCCCGTCTCGCCTCCTCTGGAATTTTGATGTGAATTGAAGCGCTTGATTTGCATGCGAGCGCGCGCGCATGACTAATGCGATAAGCATGATTAGTGCTCTGACGGCAGACTCTTGGCCAGAACTCATTGGCGCCAGTTAGTGGCAAGCTAGAAGTCGTCAACGTTTTGAACCAAATTGCCACAATTTGCAACGTGCGCATTACTTGGCAGCAGAGGAAGCTACAACGACGGCAACAACAACTGCGACAGCGACAGCGACTGTGAAGGCATCAGTGAGACATTTACATTATAATTTTAGAGACATCGCGTGCTAACAGTGGCTTAACCGGCCTCATACTCCTGATCTAGTGAAGTGTCTCTGTTTTTAAAAATAAATAGAAACAATTTGCAGTTTTCAGAGTGTGGATGGGTTGGCAATTGGAAAAAGTTTATTACAATTGAGCAACAAGAAACACAATGTGGCCTCAGGTGCTCTTACTAAGTTACTACTTTAAACATTACAAGAAAGGTTATTAGAAATGATTTCAAGAACTAATGAGAATATCATCAAAACATTTTCATTTGAATAATGACAAATTAGTTGAGAAATGTTGAAGGAAGTTTTTTTTTAATTGTTTTTGGATTTTTGATTATTTATTATTATTTTATTATTTATTTTATTAATTCATTTATTTTTTATTTATTATTTATTTTAATAATGACAAATTAGTTGAGAAATGTTGAATAAAGTTTTTTAAAATTGTTTTTGGATTTTTGATTACTTCTTCTTGCTGTTCATGGCATCAATACAAGTAGAATAAATTAATTAATTTCATGTTTAATTAAATTTTCTGAACTACAAACTAGGCTTGTGTCAATATACAGTTAATTTCTCAAATCTATTTCACTTTAGACTGTGTGTCTGGCGGGTTATGGGATCGATATAGCTAAGTAAAACTGTTTCGCTAATAACTTTTCTTAAAACCAACCGATTTAGATGAAATTTAAAACAAAAGTAGATAATTATATATAAATATAAATTATGTGTGCAAAGTTTGGTTAGGGTAGCTTTTGAAATGTGGACGGTATTGACGAAATTCTGTAGCGGAGGAAGGGGGGGAAATTCCAAAAAATTAAATAAACTCGTCCTTTCTCGGACCTAGGAGAATCTGGATACCAACTTTGGTTATTCTCGCTTTTATAGTTTCTGAGATCCTTGCGTTCATCCAGACGGACAAACGGACGGACAGACGCACGGACGGACATGTCTAGATCGATTTCTCTCGTCATGCTGATTCAGAATATATATACTTTATGGTGTCGGAGATGCTTCCTTCTTCATGTTACATACTTTGCACAAACCTAATATACCCTTTTTACCCTACGGGTACAGGGTAGAAAAAACTACTCAACTACTAAGCACAAGTAAATAAAATACGTATTCGCTGAAAGAAAGTTTCTTAAAAATATATTGATCGTAACATACGTAGCTATTAAGCCTATTTGACATTTAAATTCAATAGTCTATTTTAAGTACAATTTTCATATCAAATTAGCATCTGGTTCTAAATAGTTTACTGTAAAAAAACATTCAAACAAAGACAACACAATGTGTAAGAGAATTAATTGAAACATTAATTAAACTCGATTAAGTGCGAACGAAGCTAGCTTGATGGCAAACAAACGCTGCAAAAAGCAGTATAGTCGCAATTTGAAATTCGATACAGTTTTTTTACTTTGACCACGCCACTGAAATGCCCTGCACATTGACTTTGAACCACTGCCCAAAGCACGCTGTCCACATGCATTCGAGTACTACAAGTATAAAGTATGTGTGGTGTTGTGCTTGGAAACCTTTCTAGGCCCTTGCCCCAAGGCGTACATCAATTTTGCACTCACACTGTGGACGCGCCTTTGTCATGACATCACGTTTCAGACGAGTCAGGCCCAAAACGACAAAAAAGTGAAGTATATTACTTATGCATAAGTAACATGCATGCATTTATGAGAAACACAGCGCAGAAACACAAACAACACAAATAAAAATATAACAACTGCAGTTAAGATGAAGAGGAAAAAGCATTGCCATTGCAGCCATTATTATTATTATTATTTTTTGTGTCTTTTGCGGTTGCGCGGATTAAATGCAAATTAACTGCAAGTTGCAGCCACAAAATCGCAACAAGTTGCACGTACACACGAGCCTCGCTATGCAAATGCCTCAGAGTGGCAGATAGGCAGGCATTCAGGCAGGCATGCAGACAGGCAGGCAGGCAGACAGGCAGGCAGGTAGGCTGGCAGTCAGGCAGTCGGGCAGTTTCCTGTGCCAGAGATAACAACAGCAACAGCATTTTTTATGGCCACGTTTTATGCTTGCCTGTTAGCTTGACAACTGACTGCAATGGCTTTATTAGTAAGTAGTGCGGCCAACCTGGCGTATGTGTAATACGGTTTTTGGTGAAAGGCGGCCTGCCTGCCTGCCTGCCTGCCACCCACGGCAATCGACAGCCGAACAGGAAGGAGCCAAAGCCACATCTCACACGCTGCTCTCTGTGTCCCAGAAACCCAAAGACAAATGTGCAAATAAATGCTGTCCATTTCAGCTTCCTGCTGCGCTTTGCATGCAACTCCCAATTGCCAATTGCCAATTGAAAATGGGAAATTGGAAATTGGAAATCGGTTATCGGGTTCAAGGTAACACGAAAATCGAAAAGCGAAACTATTGACTGACAAATATCCCATTGTATTTACGCCCGGCAGCTACATTTTCCACTCTTTCAGCTGCTTTTTGCAGCTTGGCAAGGAAATTGGCGCAAGTCAATAAATCAATGCAATTTTCATGCTCACCAGAAATTGTGTTGGCTGCTGCTGCTAAGCCACTGGCAACATTTCAGAGCGCACTCGCACTCGCACTCGTGTGTGTGGGTTTGACAACCACTTTACAAATGCCACACAAAAGGCGCTTTGTGTCACGTAATTTTGCGCTGTCTCAGCTCATTAGCTTTTTGTGCCCGTCTTTGTGGGTGTCGCTTCAACAGAAGCAACAAATAAAAAACCGCTTACCTAGCATTGAGACCCTCGATTTCCTCCGCCTGCTCGGCCAGCGATGATTCCAAGTCCAAGTAGGCGCCATAATCACCATCTTTATAGACCTGGATGGCCGCGTCATCGATCTGCAAATGAACAAATTAACAAAAGAGTGGATGAGACATTAAAGCTTAGACTCAAGGAAGTGCACTTGAAGAAAGCGCATAGCCGTGTGATGGAAATATATAGTGTACAGAGTTTTGGAAATACGTTCCAAGTTGTTCAAATTTGTGTAAATGATAATATTTTGTTCTGTTGATGAAAAGAATTTATTTCAATTATTTTCCGTATTCAATCACAATTGTGTGGAAATGTTTCAAATCTCGAATAAAGGTCGATTTGTTTTGATTGTTGATTCTTTGTTTAAAATGTGGGTTAAGCTTTTAGCAAACTACTTAGGATACATTATTTATAAATTTCGATTTCCCGACACCAACAAAAATGTACAAATATTGGCTATCGAGCTATCTCTTCTCGATTAACGCGCACTTTTCAAGCATTTTTAAGTGTACCTACAGCTCCAGCCAGAGGCCAGACTGCTCGTGAAAAATAATGGCCAGACAGCCGATTTTCGTTTTTCAAAGCCAGCTACAATTATAATTAAAGCCAACTAAAAGTAAGTGGTGGTCGCAGGCGCTGTTGCAGTTGCAGCCTCCCGACTACTGCACTACGCAGTAAAAGTTGTTTATGGTCTTTCGTCTTCAGGTCGTCGTCTCGTCGCCAGGCGCCTACTAAAAAGAGAAAGAAACGATGCGGCAGTGGCCGTGGTAGTGGTAGTGGCAGTGGCAACAACGGTGGCGGTTGCAAACCACCATAGAACATTTCGAGTGAGCGAGTGAGTGAGTGACGCTTGCATTGAAAGTTGCGCTTTGTGGTGCTGCCGTGTCTTCTTTTTGGCGGCTGGCAGACGTTTTCATTTAAGCGCGAGACAACAAAACAAGGCTAAAAAGAAAGAGCCATGCTACTTGCTCTGGCTCTGGCTGTGGCTGTGGCTGTTGATTGCTGGCCATGACGTCGCCTTCAAGTTCGCCTTTGCCATCTCGTTGTGTCGACGGTTCGCGCTGCTCACCTACTTTTCTTTGCTTTCAGTTTTCAAGCTACTGTCTACTGTCTAGTGTCTGTGCGAGCGCTGATTGCTCCAGTCGGGGCTTTGGAGCGGGCTTGATTGATCGAATCACAGCTCCTGCTGCGTGCACAAATGCGCTGATTGACGCTGGCCATAGTAGTAGAAAATGTCTTGTGTTATTTTTATTTCTATTTCTGTTTCTTTCCTTTTCTATTTGCGCATTGAAAGTAATTATTTCTGCATTTACAGAACAATTACCGACAACATGAAAATATTTGTGTCGTCGCTTGCTTAATGTGTGAAAAGCAGCAGCGACTGTCACTCATCCGGGTGCAGAAGAGAATGTTGAGCAATGTTGTTAGCCAGATTACAACAAGATTACACATACGCCTCCTGGCCCCACCCAGTCAAGCTACTGATGGTGCACTGAACAAAAACGAGCGCCTTAAGCGAGTCATCAACCATGCAGTGCCTCACTGGGCTGGGGATTTTTTTCTTTCTTTTGTTAGCAAATCAAACATGGATCGTATTTTAAAAATTTACCTAATTTTTGAAATTAGATAAGCTACACACAAAGGGTCAAGGTTTCATTTTCCAATTAGCCACACTGTACCATCTGGTACTATTGACCAGTTTGTGTTTCTCTTACAAGGTTAACACTAAAAATGACCTCGCCTGTTATTAATTGCAAGCAACAACTAATTACCATACTAAATGTTAATGGCATATTTTGAAAACTGTCACTTACTTGTTGCATTTCTACCGCCACAGAACAGACAACACTGATTGTATTCTCAGAATGGTTCTTTACTTAAATTTTGTTGTTGAAAACATTACATTATAATTAAATAATTAATTAATACCTTTCTATTAAATCAGTGGCTTTAAATTAAGTAATAGAAGGCATTATAATATGCAGGTTTATAAAAATTTTTATAAATTTTATAATCTTTTAATCTTTTTTATTTCGACTTTTAATAAAGGGTCGTAGAGTCAATAAATATGACATTTTTAATTTACTTAGAATTAATTTATATTTTTGTAGGCAATTGGGTTACCTATATTTTTCTAATATAAATTTATTTTTTCTTTAAAATTCCTTGGCTTAAGAAATGTTAATTTTCTTTGTAAATGTTATTGGTTATGTCGGAATCGGGAATGGATATGTATTGAGGCGCCTTTTAAGAATGCCTCGACATATACTTCTTCCTTGAGCTTCCAAATTATGTATACTTTAAAATTTTAGAAGTTAAAGCACTTAGTTACGAAATGAAAGTCTTCAAAATTAATTATTTGTCATTTTTTCAGGTAAATTAGTAATTCTTAATAATATTTAAATAAAACGAAATAGTATCTATCTAGTCACATATCCCATTGCCAGCAGCATTTGTATCATTTATTTACAAATACATCCATCCACATTTCTCAGAAACAGCAACAACAAGGGGTGCCCCTTCTACATCATGTAGTTGGAACAAAGAACCGAAATGGGTTTTCATACCTGAAGCTAGTCTGTGGCTTGGGCCACACCTCTATCTGCAGTTTAGGGAATCGCGTGTCCTAAGCTGCACCCACAGCCTTTTAATAAACTAAATTGGTGGCAGGCAGACGTCAGGCCCCCGGCCTTGGTCAATGACTTATGGGCGTATACACAAGCTATTGTTTGCGATTGGAAGTACTACATGCATTCATACATAAGCGTATATACAGAGTCGTACTGATATAATATGTATTTATGTAAGCAAAGGGCGCAGAAATCCAAAGCGCATGGCACACTTTCATTTGCGAGCGGCTCAAGTGCAGGTAAACAAGGTGCTTCAAAAAGTATAACAGAAGCTGAAAAAAAGAGTCATTCGAGTGCCATGCCGTCTAGAGCAGCGAGTCACGTCTGCTTATCAATCCAATGAATACAAATATATACTTGTACATATTACTTTGAATATAATTCGTAGAATTTTCGTGTTGTACTTCCTGCCTTTTGAATCAGCTTGCAGTTTTAGAAATGGCAAACTTTCTAGAGCATTTCTGTAATCTGCCTTATTAATAAATAGAAGTAGTTTGCAATAAATCCATCTGTGGAATTGTGTGTCGAATGGGTTTTGTGTGGATAAGGGGCTTTACATAACTGCCGTTGATGTTCGCATTTGGTGCGTGCGCTTTGCCAATTAAAATCAAAGCAAATATTGGCACACAATAGAAATCACAAATAACCGTAAGCTGTTTTGCTTGACGGCTTTAGTTGTTGGTAACCAACACAAAACATCAAGAGCCAAAACAAAACTAAATCAAGCCGGCAATATGCTTTTTGCACATTCATCCACAGAGATATGCAAATTTGAATGCCTGCTTTTTTTCGTACATACGTATATCGACGGCTTCTTTAGATTCGGCTGTCCGCCTTGCTGTTGATGTTTTGACTGAAGCATGACAAGATTTTTAATGAAACTGAATTTGAATTTCGTTTCTGGTATCTGGTATCGCATATACGAGCATATACGAGCATATACAAGTATGTATGTATATTTACGTGGTGGACACAGGCCGAGTGCCAAACTCATAAATGCGGCTATTGACACAGTTAAGACATGTGCTCGAAAAAGGTGGGGGAGAAATGAATAGGCAAGCATTGGCTGGGGGACAATATAACAATAGGAAACGAATGGCTGCTGATTAGAAAAGAGGCCAGCAATTCAAATTAATTTCGACGGGAATCGAATAAAACACACTCCGCAAAAATACCATCAATTTTTAATTGATTCTAATTAACAAAGCAATATGGTAATTAAAACGCATAAAAACAAAACAAAAACAAAGTAAATAATTGCTAAACATATGCTAAAAGTTAATAAAAGTAATTAAACGATTTTAAAAGAATTAATGCAAAAAATAAAACTAAATAAAAAATATATTTTCATCTCAACTAACAGCAACAAAGTTGTTTAATAGCGAACTGATTAACTAAGTAAGCCACTGATTTTTACTGACTGGTTATATACTTATTTATATACATATAGACCGACATATGCAAGGGAGTTGTGTTGAATCTGATTGGCACTTATTCTCGAATGTGTCCTCAATTTTATATATATTTTAAAATACATTTTAAAAATGCATTGCAATACAAATGAGGCATATTTCTGTTTTCATGGAAACACTTATTCAATGATTTTCAGATACACAGATTAGCCATTATATGTGAACCCAAATGAAATTCAATATTTGTATTGCGAAATTAAATGGTTTCTTTTATATAAAGTACACTATTTTGGATAGCTATTGCACACGTTTTTAGTATATTTAGTATATACATTTAAAAATGAAGTTCGAAGAAGTTGCTTGACCCCCGTGAACCACAAACTGGAAAACAGACTGAATGATGTGTGAAGCTTGGGGCTGAACTTAAAATTTTCCCATCGCAGGCGTTGACTCAAAAACTGTGCGAATTATTTATGCAAATATGAGAAGATGCGTAAGCCAAAGCGTGTCAACGATGCGTATGCGTAACGCCAACACATCTACTCTTAAATATATATGTACATACATATGAATATACAAACTATAAATCAAACTAAGAAAGCCGTGCAGCAGCGTGTTTCACAATTTCAGGTAATTCCACATGTGCTGCATTGATTTCTTCCCAATTTGATCGGTTGTGTGTCTGTGTCTGTGTGTGTGTGTGTCTGTGACTGTACACACACACACACGCACATGTGTATGTGTGGTGTGAATAGCGACACATGTAAATGACGCAATGTCGGAAGCAGGCAGGGGAAATTAATGCATTTGTTTAAAATAAAACCGCCTTCTATATTTGTTTAGTGAGCCATAGAAACGAACATTTGAGTTTATTATTTCATTTGTTCGTGCTGCTTTCGCGTATTTCTATTTTAATTCATTTATCCCCTACCTTTACATTATTGTGGCGTTGTTTCGCAGATTTTGCGCGCACTTTTAACGCTTATCTAATTTTGTATAGTCTATAGTCAAAAGAGACAGTGTTTGGTACAGTGGTTCCAACCAATAAATAAATAACTGATGTGTTCATGTCTATAAATAAGGGAAAGTCGATTTTTGTTAGATTTTAATTTTATTTTAACTATGCATTCGTTCATAGCTTCTTTTTAGTTTTTGTTATAAAATTATGGAACATTTTTTAATATATCTTCTAAAACCAACAATAGAGTTACTATTCTAAGTCGACAAACCGAGTTATAGAAAAAAATAACAGCCTTAAAAATCTTACCAAGATTAAAATTGAATCTCTAAATGCTCTTAATATGAGAAAGTTGGGGGCGACTTAGACATAGTTTGATCGTTTCTTGTTCCTGTTCTGCAGGGAAGCAATGGAATTTTTTGTGGCAAAGAAACTTGCCACAAACTTTTTATTCTTAAAAAAAAAACAGAGAAAAAATCATTGAAATAATATAAAAAATATATACGAGTATATGAGCTCTTGAAGAAAATAAAGTCACACTATAGCTTCATTCTCTATCAAATCATTTTGTGAAAAAAGTGCTTTAGGCACTTAACTACTGATAATTGATTTTAAACCAAATCTGAACATGTTTTTTCAAACATAAAACTTATCTTCTTTCAATATAGCTACCACTGTGTTGCGGGCAAAAAAAAAGTCGACAGCAATAACAAAAATAAATTGGCGAAAAATAATAAATGACAAATGAATTCAAATATATTTATATATTATATACATGTGTATATATCTGTATTTGTGTGCGCATGTTTCAATGACCAGCAAAACAGTTGATTGTTCCAGTAGTGTGTGATGTCATCCGAGTTGGTCGTTGTGTGATATGGCGGGCAGATTAGACCAAACATTCTAGAGGTGAAGTGAAAATTTATGAATCTATTGTAATGCGCTAAATTTAACGAGTGGCTAAGCGTGTTAGTTGAGGTAGTACCCTAGGGTTGGGGTCGCGCTGACTAATTGGACAAATAACATTTACAGCTGCCGTTGCTGCGGCACATAAATCTGCTGTTGCTGTTGCTGTTGCCGACAGACATCCTGACAATTGCATGCAACAACAAGAACAACAACAAGAACAACAGCAACAACAACGATGGCTGGAAGAACGCTGAATCGCTGAATAGTTGAATACTTGAATAGTCGTAATGTGGTTGAACTTCCTTTTGCGATTTGCTCATTAGAATTTATTGCCGCTGCTTGTCAAGATTTACGTATCCTTGCGGCCAAATTGACGCGCGTTGCACGAGATGACAGATGACATGGCAACAAGCACGACTGTCGGGCTGCAGCATGCAGCATGTTGCAAGATGCCTTGCAAATTAGTCAAAGTCAGCGGCTTGGCCTCTCCACAAACAATGCAACTAAAACTTGGCAGGCTTAGATAATTGTTGGCCATGAACGTAACGCAAAGCCATAGCCATAGCCAAAGCCTAAGCCAAAGCTAAAGCCAAAGGCAAAAGGCAAAGCCTTGTCGGGCTTTCACAATGCCAATGAAATAAAGAAAAGCGCTCAAGTTTTTTTTTCCTTTTTCTTCTTTTTTTGCTTTGTGCCCCAACTTCCTATTAGTTGCAACAGATTGTGCGATAGCAATAAGTTAGCCGCTGGCCAAATGGACGGATGTCTTCTTTCTTCTTCTGGACGCGGACGCTTGTTGGGGTCCAAGCCGAGCCTCTCTGGTTGGCTATTGTTTGGTTTTCTTGCTGTTGTGAAGCATCATTTGAGAAATGTTAACAGCAATAACAGCAACAATAAGAAGTGGCAAGAACTGCATGCTAAACACAACTCTTCTTATTGTATTTATTTGTGCTTTATTTTAACAATTTGTTATTGTTGTTAAACATTATGCTTTGGCGTTGTCTGCTTACGTATTTTTGGTTTATTTTGTCGCGACCTTCCTTTATTTGTTTGCCTTTGTTTTGGCCATAAAACTAATTCTGTGTTTTTCCCATTCGAATTGCTGTACTTTGTAATCTTAAACGCCTTTATAATCATTACGAAACAGCAACACAGCTAGCAACACCGAGTTGACCACAAATTGATTTTTTATAGCCAATATTTTATTTGTAAGTTCATTTTACGATTGGGCTTTAGCCTCTTACCTAAACAATTTTCTCAAATAAATCAATTTAATGTCAATTTTGCCGGCTTTTGAAGTCAGCCGTTTGAGAACTATTTGTATATTTTTGTATATACGAAGCTAACTGAGCAGCCGAACATGACAGCGATTGTCAATATAGATAACTTGTAAGTCTGTATAATAGAATCTATAAATGTTTCCAAACTGGCTATGCAAATATTAAAATGCCGTTTCTGGGACCACAAAAAAAACCGCAGAAAAACTAAAATGCAAATTGAACATTGGCAATCAACTCGAACAGTGAGTCAATGGAGTCTTCTACTTGATCACAATGTCAACATCGTTTATACTTCGTTCGGGTGCGGGCGTACGGTTTACACTTGAGGCTAATTGCAGCCAACCTTGACTTAATGTTAATTACCAACACAAAAGACTGAGTTGGAAGTGCGAAGAAATTGTGGGCGCAATGTGTTTAATTTTATTTATTATTTTTGAAAAAGATACAAGCAAATACATTAATTGATTATGCATAAAATCGCTAGTTGTTTCAATGCATACTATTCAAAGTTTCACTTATGCGATTTACTTCGAAATGAAGTTTGAAAGTTTTCCCTTGAATGCCTCGCTGTAAATCAAAATAAATAAAGTAATTGCTACACAAGAACATATTTGTTTTCATTATATTCTTCAAATCACAAATAAAGATATTCCATATGTAATCAACAAATTCAAATTGCTTCATTCAAACAATAAATAAAGATAAGGTCTAAAAGAAATTAAGAAATATTTATTAATTTGTGAAAATTAACATGTGAATTTTTACTGGCAGAAACTGTCATATCCAGAAGCTCTGTCGTTTTATAATCAAAATGTGAATTGGAGCAGTGAAGAGCAGAATCAGCTGGGTCTGGCTTTTGCAATTTATTGTAAGAAGCTTTCTTTCATAACGGCACAAAAGAAAGTTAATAAACTTGTATTCTATACTGTAGAATTTTATTTAAACGGAAGCTTATTTCGGCACATATGCGAATTTAGTAAGCAAACATTAATGACTAGATCATTGTATAACAATACTACTAATAATAAATAAGACCGACCGCCGACTGTTAAATTTACGCAAATGCTAGACAAAGGCAAACAGGAAAAGTTCCATGAAAAAAATTAAACCACATCTTATTGTCTCGCATATTTGCGCAGCTAAATTCCTACCAAATACACATGTGTATGTACGAACTCGTATATACCCTAAAATACATACATATATGTACCTGTATGTATGTAGTATACTTGTATATAAATATGTATGTCTGATTACGTTTCGTGTTTGCTGAATTTTGCAAACATATGCACAGAGAACGAAAAGTCGCATTTTTTCCACTGATAAGTGCTGATAAGTTAAACCAGTTTGAAACGAATGTGCGCAAGTGCTGGCACTTTCGTCTTCTAGCCAAACAGATTGGAAGATAGCCTTCACCGAAAATCTTAAAGTAAATTGTGATTGTTCCGCTTACCCGGTGTGGCGCATTCAGCAGCCGGAGAATTGTGCCCAGCTGGGTGGCCAGCGGCATGGTGGTGGCGAAGGCATAGGTGGGGGCACGCATGGGAATGGGAAACACTGTGGTCGCATCCAATGGATCGCTATCCACTAAGTACTGCACACGAAATGTGATTAGCTCGTCGGGCTCCATTTTGACAATCATCTTGACTGGGCTTTTTATTTATTTTCCTCTGTCGTTGCTTAACTTTTTGCTTTCAAATTGCTCGCGATATGGATATACTAAGTACGTATATTTGGGTATTTTTGCACATTTATTTTGATTTTTTATTACTCCTCCACTTGCTGTTGTTGTTATTATTATTTGCTTTGTTTTATGGTCTGACTTGCGGTTTACATTTTCACAATAGTCGCACGCATTTGTCAGCTGTTGCTGAAATTATCTCTAAATAATGAAAACACTTTCATTTCGGCCAAAACTCTCTAGTTCGGCATAACGAGCGAGTCTTTTGCTGTGCAATTTATTTTAATTTTGTTTATTTGGTTTTATTTTTTGCACATATAGTACATACATAAATGTATTGCATAATGCCACTAGTAATATTTTGTCGTCGCCACACACGCACAATGCACTCAGAGAAAAATGTGTACAGCTACGGATTGCTAGTAAAGTCGTGCCATCCATATTTTCATGATATTACAACAGATGATAAATGCTAAATCCACATATAACTAAAAAAACATCGTTCGAAATTGGCATGCAAAATAAATCTACCTAACAATATGCCTTGCCTTTTTATTGTTTAATTTGATTTGTTTCAAAGTAGATGTAGCGTTTCTTTATTAGACGAGCACTTCTACTAGCAAGAAAAAATCTCTTCCGAAATAAATGATCAAAGAGAAAAATATGTCAGATTTTTCAATAAAAATGTATTCCATAATGTTATTCCGACATTGAAACTAAAAGCATTTGCAAGTGCCGGGATTTTCATTAAAAAATATATATTCTGAGAACATAATTAATTATTTTAATTATCCTATTTAGGAGGCTTTTAATTTGCAAAACATCGTACATATATACCAATTTAATATTAAATATGATAAGAATATGATTCATTTTATCTCTAAGTAGGATATACTACTGGAAGATTTGTAAATTAAACGCTTGGATTAAAATTTTATAAATTTTAGTATATCGGTTGGATTATTTCTTCACGACTCTTTATGAGCTCTTTATTTTGTGCGATCTGCCAGAATTTTCTAAACCTATCATAATTATAGAAGTTTCATTCAAATCAATTATAAAATTTGGATTTTCGCTCTAATGATATAAACAAATAAAGCACAAGCTGGTTAGGGCTACTTAAACATTTGATGTAAATTATATTATTTTTATACATTTTACTCTACTACAGGGTTGCCTGAAACACAACTACTCCCCCCTTTTTTTGAGTGTACGCAGCACGCATGTTGCGCAATTGCGAACGCGCCAGCAATTTTATGCTAAATACTACGTAGGTTTGTACAACAAATTGTGGCAGAGTAGCAAATGTGACGCCGCGCCTGCGCACATGCCACGCCCCAAAATTTCACACACACACACACATACACACTCACATTTACATAATTACAATGCAGCACCAGACGCTCTGCAATGCCAGCGCATGTAAATATTTGCTTTGGATATAATTTTTTGTCGATACTTGCTGCTCTGAACTGCTTCGCTCGATAGCCTGGCTGGCTGCTTAATGGTTGTGTAACATTCAATTCAATGTCAGGCTAGGAAAAGAAGAAGCAGAACAAGGTAAATACCAAACACTTCGCCCGTGTGCCACTGGTGTTGTTGTTATGGTTGTTCATCAGCATGCGAGGCAGCGCGTCAAATCAAATTAAATCAAAATCAAACCTAAATACATACAAGTAGTAGAAGATGGTCAAGTCTTGTGCTGTTATGTACCGCTAAATGGCTTTTGGTACGCGTATGTGCGTAAGTTGTTTATGCAAATGAGCACTGTGTTGTTGTCGTTGTTGTTGTTGTTGTGCTTTATTGACCGCAGCTTGTTAACAAGGCGCGTAGTTTTCCTCAGCCTGTGCTTCTCTGGCTGAGAGTTAATTGTGGACTTTATAACGTGACTCTGATGAGCAGTTAACTGAATGGCTGACAATCGAACTATCGGGCAGTGGCCGGCGACACTTGTCTGTTTGACAGTGAACTGGCTAAGAGATTGCGAAATTGGCGGCTATTATGGCAATAAAGAAAACCGCAGTTCTCGCTTTGGTTCAACACTTTTATTGCTTCCCTCTGGCCATTAGTCGAATGTTTTAATTGCCGTACAACTACTAAGTGCTACTTAAGTGCAACAAACTAAACACCTTAAATTATAGTCCACTGGCAGCAATTATTTATTTATTTTTTTTTTTTTTGGCTACTAAAATGATCGAACAACAACAATAAGAAAATTGTACTAAACGCTGCAGCTGTCAATTTTGAAGCGGCCGTCGCTCTTTTATTGTTGATTTTTTCTTATTTCTTGTCCACAAATTGCAATAATTTATTTTTAAGCAAGCACAAGAAGCAAAAAACCCATAAAAAGGTTCACAACAATGACGGCAAAAAATGAAAATAAAGTTTTAAAAGAGCGTGCAAACGCAAACAGCTGTTCAACATTTTGCGCCGTTCTTGTGAAACCAACAAAAACAAACCCAACCAGCAGCTATGGCAGCAACAGCAACAACAACAACAACAACAACAACCATAAGAAATTGAAATAAAATCGCGTCATTAAAAAGGCGAATGGCAAGGAAATGGGCATAAAGCCTAACAAAAGCGAAGCTTAAGCCCGCGAAGAAGATGGAGACGAAGAAGCATACTCGTATCCAGGGAGCACAACAAAGAGAAGACCAAAACTAAAGGTAGCAGCAGCAGCATTAACAGAATTTACACTGAGCGAGAAAAGTATAACCAAAAGCATTACCTAAAAGTTGATATATAAAGAAAACTCTCACGAATTCAAGGCAAGAACCTTATTAAAAAGCTGAACGAAATTTCTTATAAAGAAATTTACGAAATGAATATCAAAAGTGCCTGGATTTGGAAGAAAGAAGCCAGCTATCTTTCTTGGGAACTAAATAGTTACAGAATTTATGCGGTTTTAAAGTATTATGTGTTCGAATTGAGGATAAATTAATAAGTAAAAGAAACTCATTCTTGCTCACTTGAGAAAACAGAAGTGCAATTAGCTTTATTTCTGAGAACTAGACATGAAGTTCTTATCCTATTCAGCCAGGAAGTAAGCAGTTTAGTTTTATTTAAGCCTTTAGTTTATAATACTTAGTTTGGAAATTGCTTAGCCCCGTACCAAATATTAATCAGAACGTACATTCGCATTTTACTGAATATAAATACGATTATCAATGATTTGGGATTTTTGCAAAGATAAACGATTTGTTAATTTGTAGAGTTTGGTTTGTCAAAATACTTATGGCAGGTGCTGTGTTACTTGCTGTCATTGTTGCTGCCACACAATGCGGCAGGTGTGCCAAAATGTTGTTGGCTGGCTGGTCAGGAAGAACGCGCTGTCGACGCTTTATTTTAACTCTTCTTTTTGTGCGCTTGCGTGCAGCAGTTTGCCAAAAACAACAACAACAACAGCAACAGCAACAACAATGGCAACAAGAAATTCTCGTCATGCGAAAGTTAGTTTGGAAGGCAGCGACTGGCAAAGACCAGACTGGACAGTCGAACTTTGTGTCTGCCTCTTAATTTGTTGTTGTTGCTGCTTTTATTGTTGCAATGAAATTGAAAATAAAGTTTCAATTTTGTGCAGGAATTTGCGTTGCGTTCAACTTTTTACTTTCACGCATATAGGTACATAGTATATAGTATGTGTGTGTACATTTCGAATTAAAGCCGGAACTACAAGTATGCTGGCAAGGGTTTCGTTTTGACCGAAAGCCCAAAGCCAAAAGTTAAGTGCCAAACGTTTTTGGACGGCAATTTTTTCTATGGCTTCCTTATTGGATGCCTGCCATGAAACGTGCAGAAATTTAATGAAATTAAATAAATATTATGTGTACGAACAAAATAAGTGGCAAGCAAGAGTTAAATGAAAAGCATGATGTTGTTGTTGTTTTGGTTGTTTTGGTTGGGTAGTTGGTTGGCCGGCGAGCATATTTAGTTACAAATTACGACAATGACGCCAACAACGTCGCCATATTAAAGTGTAAATAATTTATGCAAATGTTGCAGCCACACAATTTGGCAGCGGCTATTGTTGCTGTTGTTGTTGGCGGCACCCACAACACCACACTACGCTTAATGAAACCCGGCCGGCGGCTCAAGGAAACAGCATCCAACTGTGTGGCAGTCACTTTGCTGCCTCACTCTTTTTCGCCTTGACTGAAATTTTGTTGAACTTTCACTTTTATTTTCGGGCATTGATGTGGCTCGCAGCAGCTGCCACTCTTCTTCCTCCTCTTCTTTTTCTTCTCCTCCTTCTCCTTCTTCTCCTTCTTCTCCACCAAGTCATTTTGTCATCAATTATGTAAATTTCGCTCATAAGTTTACATTTACAATGCGGTTAATTGACAGCTTGTGGCAGCTACTGTGGCAAATAATATGAATGCGACTTTTACCCACGAGCCCAAGTTGATTAACAAGGCATTGACATTGTTGCAATTATCGTGTAATCACAACCACAACAACAACAACCCTAAAAACCACGTAAAGCGACAAATTGATAAAACGGCAAGGTCAGCTCGAACACATTTCATTAGCAACTTGTTCCAACGTTTATCAATGGCCCCATCGAGGGGCAGCTCCGCAACAAACGCAAACCTTGTCTCATAGCCTAGCACCCTCGGTATCTAGTCAGTTAGTTGGCTAATAAAGACATTAAAGTCAAATAGGTTCAGCCAATTCGCAGAATGCGCAAAACCCCCAAATAGGGAATTCTCAATATTGTTTCGGTCTGGCTGCGGTTCGCTGCACAGCAAATATTTGACCATATGCGAGCAACATGATTGAACCAAAGTCAGATAAACAGGCATGGCAGCGGCTTCGAAGGAAAACAAAAAATAAATATAGCATAAACAATACACCAAACACATTCCAAGACAATTTGTCATGCTTAGAAAACACAAACTGTATGAAGAGAGGAAAACGAGACCCAGAAAATTGTTAGCAAAGGCTGAAGCGAAGATCGTATACCCTTTCAAAGCCGGAGTTTAGCTAGCAGCTTTATGCTTATGATTAATTCGATTTACGGTGATCTTCTTTCTGAATACATACGAGTATAACATAGCTGATCAAATCTAAGCATTTATCTGATATGGATAATACTGAGACTTATGCTCTTTAATGTGAATATTTTAAGCTTAAATTCATTTGAACAGAAAATTAAAGTAGCAG